ATATAGACATATAGACATATATATATAGTATGTATAGTATACAGTATGTATATACTGTACATACATATAAACTTCTCTAGGTCCATTTTGCTCGTCACACACCATTGGCTTAACTGCATCAAATGTTTTTTGGACAAGAAAATGAATGAAGTCCAGAAACATGAAAGTTTACAAATATTTTGAAATACCACCACAATGTTACGTTTCCTGAGCAGCCACTTAGGCAGAGTAATGACTGAGAATGGCCAAGATTAGTCACGTTGACAGGCATAAAAGAGTTATTTTGCATGCACAAAGTGTTTACAGAGATGCCAGGAGCCGAGCACTTGAAATAACTCTCGGTGTACAAAACGTCTTAAAGCACTAGAAATATTACTTTTAGAAATTTTAGGACAGGATCTAGGAAATGTGTCCTTCATTGGTGTAAAAGGACAGGACAGGTTGTCATCTGGTATAGATCTGTATAGATCTGTTCAACAGTTGGATAAACAACTAAATGTCAAATAAATGTCCAGCCTTAACACAGTCAGAACAATTTAATCATTTGTTTATTTTAACATTTTGATTCCAATGTAAATTTTTGGCTGTGTTGTGGCATATAATACATATAATACAGCATCACTGCATCGGCTCCTGAGGTCATAATAACTCAGGATGTACTCCCGGTCAGCTTTTCTTTAGAAGAGGCAAAAAACAAGTATTATTTATAAAGAGTACTGAAATGCCGTATATTTTATACAGCTGCTCTGAAGGAAGCATCCATTTCAGGTCTGTGCTTTTTCTTACCTTAAAACCTGTTGTATAATTCATGAAGCCGTGCTCCGGTGTTCCAGGATTTTCACACGTAGTTCTCGTTGGCTCTGGAACAAGAAATCACTTATGATGAGCAAAGAAATTGCACCAGAGTAAAAGGGAGTGAGTGCGTGACAGAAGGGCAATCATTGATAATGACGGAGCAATTTCCCTCTGGTGTACCATGTGTGCCACAGGACAATTAGTGAAGTGGCATGGTTACATGAGTGGAATTTTTCCTGCCATCTCAGAGGTTCATTTACCACTAATTCCTCTCCTTTTGAGTCGTTTTTAGTACTACCAGCTCCATTAAAAAAGCAAAATACATGAATATATATTTGTCATTACTTAGAGTAAAACACATGAAACTCAAATATTTCTGGTAGCCCTTTTTCTGTTTCTTTATTTAGGAACTAAGAGATTAACATCTAAGGTCACTCTCTTTGTTAAATGTAAACTAATAACTAGCTTGTTGCCTTCTACATTATTAACAGAAATGTAATCTGTCCAAATGACAGGTTTCTGTCTGTGTCAGTCTGTGTATTGACTGTGGTTTGTTTTCCCAGGTACTATGTCACTTACTTCACTATCATTAGTCAGTTTTAGTCTTTACCTATACATCGTGGTTGAGAGCCACTCCAAGCGCCAACCTCCTGGCACATACGTGTGGCTGATCCCACCAGAACGTAGGGGGCGCTGCAGCTGAAAGTCACCTCTGACTTGAAGATGAAACTGCGACCTTCCCTCCGTCCCTTGGCTGGCAGACCAGGGTCTCCACAGAATGTGGCTACAGGGAAAGCAGTTCAAAACTGACATGATTATCGAAAGGCAAAAAAAAAAGTCAAGAGGTAATTTCTCAAAATCCCATTAAACGCTCTCCTGTGCTCATACAGGATCAGACCGTGATGAAAAGAGACTTTTGGCCTTTTAACTGCAAAGTTTCTATAGTGCTTGATTTATTTCAGCTCACAACCTTAAAAGCTTTCAGTGTCATTTAACAAATCTTTGTGCAGTGAAGGTAAACTGGAGGCGACATCACGTCTGTCGCACCAGAATCCTGGGTCATTTTTATTGCATGTGGGCAGATGCAGTGACACTCTCAGGATGATTTTCTCTGTCAGAGCTTTTTTTAACATTTATTATTTCTCAACACTCACTCTTACGGGTGGATAGTTTAAAGTAGGTGTACATATATTCATCTTGGCAGGAGAGAGGCAGCAGAGGAGGTCATGGCATTCAATTTCACATCAAAAGAAATTAACAAATGAAAAATGTATTTTTCAGACACAGCCCTAAGGTTAACACAACTGCAGCCATCTGCTGCTGCTGCTGCTGCTCACCATGCCACTCATACGATATTGCCTATTTGATGGCACTCTAGCCACCGCCTCGGCAGATGAAAACTTGGATTAGCACCGCTTCCCATTCAATTTATTGCTTATAGACATCTCGTCAAGTTGCCTGGAATAATTTAGGCTGAGTGGGCTTGATGGGGGAAAGAAGACATCCACTTCCTCCTCCTCTGCCAATGTATATTTCAAATTATTTTCTAGTGCATATGCAGTGTATATACACATAGGCATTAACCAATGATAACTGTACGGTCCAGTTAAAGTGACGTGTTGGTGAAGGGAGGTTGAGAAAGTCTCAGTGTGTGAGGGAGCAGATGTGAGGACGAGAGTCACAGCATTCAGTCACACAGCCAGAGCACTGCAGGATCAAGCCAGTAATAAGGCAGGCTGCTTCTCCAGACTTGACATGTGCTGCTGTCAGGAGGTCTGGAGACAGAGATAAGTTCTTGCTTGCTTTCTTCCAAGAAGACAGCAACCAACGGGGGCTTCCCAGAGCACAGCCCTGATATAACAGATATGAGGTAAAAGAGGAGATTCAAATCCCACCCATGCAGGAATGGATAAAAAATAAATAAATAAAAAATTCCAACACCGTTATCTCTGATAAAAATCTATGTATTTGAGATAGATCTTTTCTAGGAATGATGATGTTGTAGCTTCCATCAGAGAACGACGCCCTGAGTTTTCCACTGCACAACACCAAACAGATGGACTGTATCTGATCACAAGGGGCAGTGGTTGATTGTTGTCACTTCTCAGACGACACTGGGGGACTTTGCTTTCAGATGACGTCCACCCCCCCACCTAGACCCCCCTCCCCTACCTTGACCCCCCTATGTTGATAACATACACCAAAACAGATGACATGCACATTAGTCATGAAACTTCAAGCCACTGGGAAATAATACACCCTTTGATAGCCATATAAGGGAAACGGCCCCAGGCCAAACCCAGCTCAGCAAGTTCCATATGTCTGTAGCCGCTGTGTGTATGTTGATTAACAAGAAACAGTGCGAGAAAGAGGGAGAGACGACGGTCCAACTTTTCACACTTGCTAGCAAAGACTCGCTCTTCGTTTGTGATGAATTATAAATACTGGGAAGTAATCAGTATGCAGAGGTCTGATTCAAATTTGAAACCACTGTTTCATCCCTGCAGACACATGAACTCGCTTTGTGAGAAACTGAAATACGCTGCTTCTCTCCCTCTCTTCCCCCATTTGTTTTCTGGGAAATAATGAAAATGCATGTTAATCCAGCTGGGCTGCACATTTTCAAACATGCACTTGCATGTGTTAGTCTCTGATGTGTGGTGTGGTGTGTGGCCATGTAAGCCGTTTTAAGAGCTGCACTTGAAGAATAACATACCTTGAAACAACATTGATTTTCAAATGAGAAGCTGATTTTCAATGCACGTCATCAACATATATGAATATCATGAATCTGTATCATATCTAAGTCCATTTTTATTTTCCTAACGCAAAATTAGAATGTACAGCTCAATATTCATAGCGACAGGTCACATTAGAATGCTAAAAGAATATCGGCTGCAGATGTACGTGACAAGACATGAATGTCATCACATCTACACTATTGAACTGTGAATACATTAGAAGAATTGACGGTTCATCTTTTTGATGGCATCGACTGACACCTAAGAATAATCTGGATTATGGCGCCTGCTGACACAACATCCTTTGCGTTTTTCACACTGAATATTTTACATGTACTAGCATTTAAACTAGCATCTTAGGTTAGGTAACTATTAAAATGTTAAATCTTAAACTGTTTTCCACTGACAAACAATTAACACATTCTGGAACACAAAGGTCAGAAAGGTCATTAGTGTGGCTGTGGTGTTTGTAGGATGGTACTGACCGCCATAACTGCACAAGAGAGCAGGTTTATGGTGAAGAAACTTGCTGGTTTTATGAGCAGATGATCACAGTGACTCAGGACCAGAACCCAGACACACCTGTGCACCTCCATAAAAAGTACACCTTTGTTCTTTTAAGACGTGGTCAAATGGGCAGGATATAAATATTGGAGACAAACAGGAAGTGCAGTAAGAGTGAAGCAGAGTGAAGTATCCCTTTATAAGAAGAATAGGTTGAAAAAGCATCACGCTGGACAAAGTGAACATCCTAATGTGGATTTGTTGGCAGGAGGAAAATGGTGGCAATACACCGATTTTGTAATTGGCGTCACACACATTAATCTGATGTGGCCAAATATGTGCTCCCTGATCTGAACTTTGTTTCAATATCTTCTTCTCATACTGAACTTTCTACATGTGGCTGACAAACTTCTTCTACTGCAGTATACATATGGTACTTCTAGTTATATTTAAGAAGGTTGATTTATCCTGATTAATCACGATTAATTACAGTTAAGTTTTATCAGTATTAACAGTTGTAAACCATCAGTTACCCTGTCTTTAACCAAATCATTATTATTACATTACCACTGCATTCTAAGAAGGCACCATGTGGTTGATTGACAGCTGGATAGTAACTAGCAGTCAGTCATGTACTGCTGCTGTTCATAGTTGAACTTCCAGTCTTTTTTTAGGGAATTCCTCAGGGCTACACTGTAAGTGACTGAGTCAATTTCTTATATACAGAGAATCCTTTCAGCACAGGTAACGTCAATACTGTTTTTGTTAATGTTTTTAACTATTTATCTTAAAAATAAGTATTTGCTCAGAATCCAGAGCTGATATTACCGACGAGTGTAAACTTGACACGTTCTTGATACAGTTTCTGTGACTGACAGCTGTGGTGCTCTGCTCATACCTACATATTTGTATCATACTCCAGGTATAACTCAATGTATCAGATATATATGGTGTGGGTCTTCCTCCACCAACACCATCATTTCTCTCCTACAGCACGTGTGAAAACAGTGCCCAGGACACATCTCCAGGGTGAAAATTGTTCAGTTACAGAATCCACTTAAGTTGTGTTATGTAGCGTGTTGTGTAGGCGTCTAACAGCTCAGTAAGAAACAGCGTATAGTTAAAGACGTGACCCCCATGACACCTGTTTTGCTTCTTTGCGTTACTGTCCTGATCTACTGTATACATTTCACACTCTAATTCAGTTTCTTTCCACCTGGAAACCGATGACTTATTCATGAAGATCTTTAATTTGATTAACGTCAAATAACCTCTGAAGGTGCAGGTAAGTGTATGCATGCATGTATAAATTATTCATATGTACAAGTTGACAAGTTGTTAAATGCCTGTGCATCCGTTTTAAAACTTTATGAAGTAACCTGTTCTGTCATGGCTCTAATAAAATCACTTCTTTATCACTGATGCACTGATGTTGGCCAAGTGTTTTTTTTTTCCATATGATTTTTGAATGGTTAAAATGAGACTCCTCCCCGGAGAAGGATTACATTAAAAATCTTGGCTCATTTACACAGTTTGATCGGCTGTTTCACTTTGGAAGTTTGAGTTTTGGAATCTTCAGTATTGTGATAAGTAAATACACACCAGGAGAGATTTTTTTAAAAAAAACACTGGCCTGTGCATAAGTGAGGATGAATTTTCATCCTTCCAAGCTAATTTGTCACAAATCACCTGCAGCGATCAACAGACACCAGCGATGAAAAATGACAAAAGCTCCACAGAGTCAGACTCATTTCTCCTCCTGTAAATGACTCACGCAAGCACTGAGGCAAGTCTCCACTCCACGTTCCATTCCCGGTGCAGGTCAGGATGGCAGGGAAGGACAACTCGTAGCCCGGCAGGCAGCTGTAGCTGACGCTGGTGCCCCACTCCAGGACGGAGCCCTCCAGCAGACCGTTAGGTATGGGTGGTGGGGTAGGACACGTCACCACTGAGGGCAGAGTGAGGACACAGTTAGAACAAGACTATCATAGAACAACTCTTTGGTAAAGTTCACACTGAGACAATAAATAAAACAAAGTTAACATTAAAGCAAAATAGATCTTACTCCGAGTCCTGTGAATAATAGAGTAGAGGAAACCCAGCCTGAGCAGGAGTCGTCATACATTATAAAATGGAACACATCCATTATTGAAGGACACGCAGGGAGTTTGTCTAATGTCACATCAACCAGTGTTGTGGAAGTTAGTCTTCCTGCACAAACATGAGAATTTAGGATCACAGAGATTTTTACTACCTCTGCACTACTATAAAGATTTAGATCTTTTGGTTATACATGTATATATTGATTTATTTATTTAGACCGAGGGTTCGGAGCTAACAAGCTACGCTGCTTTTCACTCCTTTTCAAATATGTCATTTATTTTGTTTTTGTCCTGCGTTTCAATATTATGGCTCTTCAATTTCATTTCTATCTTATGTCGTGCCAGGAATTAGTTCAGTACTGCAGTAATCAGAAAGCCTTGTACTGTTTGCATATACGGAATAAACAGCACAAACAAATAGACCGTTATATAAAATAGGCACAAACAAATAGACCGTTATATAAAATAAAATGAAATGAAATGAAATTGTAGGACAACAGACACAACAAGGTTTGGAGGTAATTACTGTAATTACTTTGTACTGTAATTACATAGTTTTACTATTGTCTCTGAATTTTCAACTGTGGTATACTTAAAAATGTGCCATTTGAAAATGTCAATAATTTGAATTTTTTTTACAGAGAATGTTTTACACTTCATTTTAATAGAACCGCAGCAACTTTTTCTTTGCTCCCTACACCAACATTTAAAGACATGGTCATTTATTATTTATTTATTGTTAGATATAGATTAGACATTTCAAGGTGTACGCAGTAATTTATTTGGTACACTGTACATCCATTAACATCCAACCTGAGTGTTATTTTTACTGAAGCACCTCAAGTTTCAAATTCCGTCTTGATGAATCCACGGCTTCTATGTGATTTCAGATAAAAAGATATCATCAACGGACAACTATATTTTGTCAGATTTATCGTTCATTCACTGACATTGTTTTTATCTCTCTATTTCTTAAGTTCTGCTGTTGATGTTCCGTGCTTCGACTGGAAACAAACTCATGTTTGTTGTGATTATTGAATAACATCCGTAGAAAACTAGAGAACTCTCTAATGGGTGTAAAAGCCATAAAGTTTCTGCTCAACAAATATCATAAATTTATGTAGAACGCAGCTTGGAGTTTGTTCGGGCACATTCGGAGATGAACTCGTGGGGGCGCAGATGGGAGATGGGTTTTTAGGGATATGAATAAATCAGCAGTTGTTTTTTTTTTTTACACCACTGCTACCTGGCATCAACCTGCCTTTCTGGCCCCAGTGTCTCGTTCCTCCACATAAACTCACACAGTCTGTTTCAAATAGGAGCTGTCAAACAACTGTTAAGGAATAGTAGCTCTGTAGGCCACATGTTAAAGTTGATCCCCTCTGTGCTGCAAGTCGATTGGACTTAAAAACAAAAACAACCTAAAACATGATGAAGATATAACAATTCAACTGATTTAGTTTTCCCACTGTGTATAGTTTCAGACACTGAACTTGTTACTTCTGGATTCTAACCAGATTAGTTTCCATTCACTCGAGACTATCGCCTTCTTTTCCCCAACTGTTCAGTTTGCTTTAATCCAGCTCTAACCTTTTCTTCTGCTAAGACCTGATATACTATGCTGTCTGGCATTCTGCAAAACAGAACTCCTGACATTCTAATGCTCACAAGTGATTTCACCTTCATTAGTTTGTTATTAGTTCCTGGAGGCACATTAACACATCTGATCTTATCTCTGCCTGAATCTAAACTTAGCCTCAAATAAAAAGCTGAATAAACATAATATCTTTTAATTGGATACAGTTTATATCTGGGAACTCAAACTCAAACAGCCAAACTTCATGTCTGCATAAAGAGGCAAAATACTTAGTACTTTAACCCTTTCTAACATATCATCTTTTTAAGACAGATAATGGTTTGCCAACATAAGTTTTATTCTTTCATTCTATTCCCCTCATTCTGGAGACACAGTCTGGTACAAGATGACAATTTGTTCACTACTCCAACAGTATACATGAAGACATGATGTTTAAGACGACGGTGATTTGATTTGTTAATTAATATAACTTGTGTCTTTTGTGACAATTTACTGGAGATTTTTCTTCTTACATCAGTTTCAACAGTATTGGACCTCACGCCTCTGAAACCCCTTAATAAGAGAATTTAAAAATAACAGTACTGACGCCCAGAAATAAATGGAAAAGATAGTGTCCTCACTTTTATAAGTCACGTTAAGCAGCGTGAGTACCGCTCAGCTGAATTTGCCAAACCCAGGATTGAAACTCAATCCTTGCTGGGCAGGATTAGGATGTGTAATCATTCAGCAGCAGCACACTCAAACGCTGCTGCAAATGCTGATGCACCGGCATTAAGTACAAATTTATGCACTGTCGGCATGTGTTCTCCCTTTAAAGAAAAAAATCACTCACTTCATCTCCCTGTCTTCACTCTTCCCTGCCTGGAATATCATCTCATATAATCTGGTGGTATATCGTCAAAACCAATGACAGGATGACAGATGCCCACCATGGTGACATTTTCAAAAGAGCTCACACTCTCTGAACTGTGGCACCTTCGACCTAAACCCAATTTTGTTAAAAAAAGAAGAAAAAAAAAAGGGGGGGTGGGGGGGGCCCCACAAAAATGGCAGTCTTGTTTAAAGCCTCATATGCAAGAAAAGGAAACGGACTTTTTTCCACAGTTCTTTTCAAAGACCTCTGACTGTGTAGCTTGTCAGTGAGAGACATGACATGATATAAAACTGACTAGCAGCATCCTGCCAGGCTTCTCTGACACTGATCCCTGATCTTCAGATACAGCAATGAATCACGACGAGGAAAAAGAATACTATAAAATATACACATGGCTAAAAAAAAGTAACACATCTACAAAAGGTAACAGAGTCAATTCCAATATAAGACTATAATAAATGTCACTTTTTTGTTCTGCTTTTCAAAGATCTAATCTGTGGTTTAATTCATAAACAAAATCTGTTTAATAATAATTTGTACTTTATCGATCTAACACACACATTCTTGCGTAAACAGCAGATCTGCTGCAACAGGCTGCCCCCTGCTGTGTGGTCCCTCTGGGAGAGAAACCCAGGTGATCTCTGCTTGCGAGGCAGCCATACTAACAGCAGCACAGAGCATGAAGGTCATGCACATTCAGCAGTGGTTTCCTCTCAGATTTCAACTTGTGCCTCATGTGAGAGGCTTAAAAAACAAAACAAAGTTATAATCTTTTGTTGCATTTCCAGAGAAGTTGGCCTTGTACAGATTCACTTTTCACTAATAAAAAAGTGCAATTGGGAATTTAAATCTACTCAATATATTTAACCAGCTGCATGAAGACATCTCATTTGCGTCCAGTGTTGCCATCAATCATTTTCAATTGTCTCGTATCATCAGAAAACAGTTTGTTAAATGCACTGCGTCAATGGAGCCTGTGAAGATTAAAACACTGAAATTGTAAACTTAAGTTATCCATCTGCTAACATTTAACATGTTGCACTTCTCCCCACGTTGCACAGATGTTCTTATTGCCCTGCGGACAGTTTTGCAGAGAGAGTGGCAGAGAGTGACAGGACGGACCCTGTGGATCAGCGACGGCTGCGTACAGGTCAGCACCAGCTGACAGTAAACAGGCGGCAGAGGCAGCCAGTGTGTACATCGCTGTGTGTATACACACGGGGAGAGTTGTGTAATTGAATGGCTCCATGTGAGTGTATGCATGCATACTGGAGTGAGATGAGGAGGGTTAAGCTCGGGGGGCTTTGCTCCTCTCCACACCATCCCCATCAAGAGTTGCGGCGCTGCAGCTGAAGTGCCTGAGTTGCCGCCATATCTGTCAAGGGATACTGCCGGGAGATTAGGAGCTCCGCAGACAAATGTGCACAAACACACACACACACTCTTGTCTTCCATTAAGACCACCACGAGTGACAGATGTGCGACCGTTGATTTGTCCAGCACCAAAACACCCCATGGAGCGGGACATGTTAATAATGAAACAAACCCATGAAATATTGCAAATCAGTGTCAGTTTGTGTGATGTAAACCTCCAGACAAGGAGCCTGAGGCGGAGGAGGGGGGAAATACTACAGGGGTTAAGGCTTAAAACTGCAGTTTCTTTAAGGCGATGAGAAGGTAAACGGCAATTCCCTACGAGCGGAGGAGAGAAAATGGTTCAGACTAATTCTGAGTTCATGAGAGCGACTATGCACCGAGGATAACGGCAACCCAAACATCCACTGTATGAGAAGGAAAGCAATCCCATGTTCAAACTGGTGTGTGTTACATTTTTGTGTTACAGTTTTGTTAACAATTCTAACTCCAGCGTGTTTATCGGCCTTATTGTTAGTCACTCACACCAATCTGCTTTTCCTCGTTTCTCAGGAGTCACACCCAAATGACAACCGCTACATTGTAACTACGACTACGAGTGGGAACAGTTTCTTAGCAACAATGAGGTACAATTTGCCTTGTGGGCTTTTTTCTTTTTCTGGTGTACTTTTCAACTGTTCGCTGCACAAGTTAATCTTCCCTGCAGTGCTCATTTTCGGGTGTTGACGGGAGACGTGCTAATCCTTTGCCTTTACTCGAGCGTTGTAAATCACTGGGCGTTGTGCGGCTGACGGCTGTACACAGCTACAGTAGGTTCTCTTGGTGGACGTTTTAAACTTTGATGCTGATCAAACCCAGGAAGTGCCGTGAAGACAATTTTAGAGAAAGCCGGGCTGTAACTGTAGGAGCACAATCAGAGGTGTCCTTGTTGTGAGGAGGAGAAGGAGCAGCAAGCTATTCATCACCAGGCGTCAGAGGAACTTTGAGTCTTGGCTCTGTGCCACCGCAGGTGCACCTCTGGCTGCAGACACGGGTGATGATGGATCTCCTAAAATATTACTTTAACAATGATGGAAAATCCTGAATGTGAACATTAAAACATGAGCTGTTTTTTTGTAAGTGCTTGGATGTAAATATATACATCAGTGACACAGAGTGAAGACCTCGTCAACTATGGGTTTTAGGATGCTGTGAAATACTGCCTTAAATCTTCACAAACTGCTTAGAAAATGTCTGCAGGTCTGAATTCAGTTACATTTTTATGGCTCTCTAGAAGTACAGCTACAAGTGCAGTACCACCGCTGGCCAATAGTGGATGTTTTCCACAGATGCCTATGAAAAAAATGTTTCTTTCACTCAATTATAATTTTAAGTAGAGTTTATGTCTTGAATTTATTTATTTAGCTCTAAATGATTTCACTATTCTGTTGGTTTCATTAAAATAAATGCCACAAAGGGTCCACCTAGTGATTCAGCAGAGTTGCTACACCGGATGCCCTTTGTGATGCAACTCAATTTAGGATTTGGGATGGTTGAGAACTGAGAGCCATCTGGTGGCAGGGAGGAAACCTACACCTTGACCTCTCAAGGCCTGATGAAATATCTGTCTACTACCCTTTCGTCATATTCTTTGTTGTGATGCAGTGATGTTCACTGCTACCTCCAAAAATTACAGCATTTTCATCATTGGTATGACAACTACATGTGGTTTATAACTGGATCACTGCATGCATATGTTACGTGTTGACAGTGCCATATATCAAGTGTAACTTTTTCTATCCGCAAATTTAAATAACTCCTACGACACTATCTGACCACCAGGGATGCACTGTGCCACCTGACTCACTAATATCATTATATCTCAGGGTCGAAAGCATGTATTCTGTATTGTATGTGACAATGTGCTAGCATGCCAAGGTTATTACCGCACTGATGGTTATCAGAGCTGACTCTGCAGCCTGTGAGCCATGCACTGTGTGTTTGTTCAGATCGGTGGCACAAACCATGTGTATGTGTGTGTGTATGTGTGTGTGTGTTTGACGGAGATTGTTGGGATTCATTTTCACTAAAAATTTACCTTGGCACGTTGGCATGGTGCCACTCCAGGTGCCGTTGTTGGTACAGGTCCTTGAGACGGTGCTGTCTCCTTCTATCATCACATATCCTGGCTGGCACTGGAATGTCATGTTCTGGCCCACTGTGAAGTCTTCGCCAAATCTAAGACCACTCGCTGGAATCCCAGGGTCGCCACAGGTAATCACTGGAATTCAGGTCAGACAGAGAAACAGATTCATGTGAATCTAATAAAATCACATAAACGGTAACCAGAGATAACTGCCCCCTCTGAAGCAGAGCTGTCATCGTGGTCCAGCTGCCAGTTTGCTGATGCTTGGGCATAATGTTTTAAATCAAGATAAGCACAATGGATCATCAGGCATAATAGGTCCGCTCTTCTGAGTGGCATTAAACATGCAGGGCATGGCACCGAGTTGAACCCAAAATAAGAAATATCCACTGAAGTTAAAAATACAGCTGTTAGCATATTAGAGTTTAACTGAGTACTTGGATCATTATCCCACAGCAGCTGTTGTACAAGATGAGACAGTGTCCCTATTGTCATGATAATAAAATACTAATGATTGTGTTTGTTCAAATTTTCTTTGTCCAGATTTCCAAATCGTGCAGTTTTAAACCATGAGAGTTGGCACAGAACGACATCAGGTGTCATTTATCCAGTGGAGGTTGATGAAAATGTTCTACCCCTCATTATATCGTGCAGTTCTAATACGCAGTACTTATTATAAAGTCTTTCCTGACTTGTTCACCTTCATGTAAGGAGCCAGTTTGATGCATAGAAGTGTCCCCTGCAAACGCCCCCTCTCTTAAATTAATTTCTGTTTGTTTATTTCCAAGTTGCCGCCAAGGACTTCAAAACTCGGAGACATTCATCATGACCAGGCAAAATTTACTCCGTATCCTGACAGGATACATATGAGAACTGCTAACACGCTGCACAGACAAGAGGCCGGGTCTTCGGGCACTATGTTGTGACTTGCTCCAATAATAAATCCAAACTTCCCAGACGCATCTATTCTCAGGATTAACACGAGATGCAACTCTCGTGTTACGGGCGAGAACAGAGAGTGCAGAGAGAATGTGCGGACTGGGGTCCACTGTATAACCTCGATGTGGGACAGATAGATCATGCCACATGTTTGGTTTTTGTTCAGGGAGTTTTTCTAAAGTTGCAGAGGTTTGCCCTTTGCTTCCTTCTCAGAGATTCCCGTTCCTGTATATTTGTCAGAAGAACAAATTGTGCAGGAGTTGAAACTGATGTTGGGTATAGAACAGGTCACCAAGTTAACTCTATCAAGTATTATAATTTTATGATAGTTTTCTTTTCTACTTACAAAGTGAATGTTCAAGCAGCTTAGGGATTCTAAACATTTTTAAACTACTGAAGCTGTGGTATTGAAAATTTGCACCACCAAAAAGACGAATGAAAATGTTAGTATTCACATCGGCCAAAAACAGAATGCGGTGCAGTTGCTGTTTATCTGCAGAAGGGAAAGAACCCATTCAGTCGGCACAGCACAGAATGCTGCAGGGCTTGGAGTCCAGCATTTTAATTCTTACAAGCAATGCTGCCTTTTATTTTACTACGTTTACCAACTGGCAATAAAGCAGGTTAGAAAAAGAAATTAGTGAAGGCAGGAAATCAGATAGGGAGTTTAAAGAAACACTGCAATAACCTGCTCCCAGTAAGAACTGTATTTAAATGGAGTTCAGCTGGTAAACTGGTGGCTTCACATCCATCAACATCTTTACATAGTCTGGTGTGTGACTATATGTGAATGGAACTTTGATTACCAACACAGGTTACTGCAGAACAGTAACTGTGATCTAGTTGGTCATAAATCTGTTGATTGACTGATTTTCTCAGAGTTTTGTTCTTTTTTGTTCTTTTTTCAATCGTTTCACCTCGTTACCTGTCTTCCAGCAGAAGAATCCAATCACAGTGTGTGAGTGTGGGCATTTAAACTAGTAGTAAAAGGAGCGGAGAATGTCATAAACAGGAGATAAACATCAGTGGGATCATGATGCGTCTCCCCCAATAATCACTGTGTACAGTTTAGTTTATTTAGTGCTGTATGGTTTGAGCTCACACCTCACTGAGCAGGTCTCCTCACTAATACACAAACTTCAGCTGACGCCAGGGTCCTTCACTCCCCCTCTGTAAATCTCATTTATGAACCATCTTTTTACCGAGCGTGTTTGAGAAATAAAAATGGAAGGACTCCAACTTCTCCTCCCCTCCAGTGACGTGACTCTGATCCGGTGAACCTACATCACTGATTACCAAATGAAACGTGGAAATGATTGTCTCCATATAATGAAGGCAACACAGGGACCATTTTTGCATCGTGTCCATGAACTGACCATGAGAATATAACTCGGAGCGATAGCCTACAGGAAAATAACAGTATTACGTTTGGTGATAAGTGAGTTTTAAAGTAGGGGAGAAGGGGCATGGAAGCCATTACTCCTTTCTGCTTGTTTGGTCATTATTATTCCCTCCTTCGCCCTCTCTGTGTATATCTCCACAGAGACTCATTTCTTTCCAAAATTGAAAATTATGCCCACGCCATTTATCTTTCCTTGTGATTCAATAACAAGTATAAAGAATGAGGAAGGCAGAATATGGTGATTCTCAGAGGGAAGAACAGTGTGTAATTTTGTTTGATAGTCTTCCTGCTGTAATGTGAATATAGATTGGCATACTTCTTGATTATTGTGAGGCCCATTTCTCAAAAAGTATCTCCGAGTATTGAACACTTGTGGGAGAGGGGTTGGCTCCATGAGATTTATGTGCTTCTCCACATCGTGTGCCTTAATTTAGCAACGGCTTTAATCAATCAGTTCACGTCATTATCGGAGAACTATGAAGCAAAACTATGGTCTTAATTTCTGACAATCATAAATCCCATCTGTGGTGTTTATCTGTGCTTCAGAATGTTGTTTATGCGAGTTTCTGCGAGTATTTATTTTTCTCACAGAACACACACCATATTCATTACCAACTTACTGTTCTAACACATTCAGATTAAACGTAGCTCATATGCCACAGAAGTGTCCGCTCTTTTCTACCGGTAGCTCTCAAACTATGGTATGGGTACTGCTGGTGGTACTTAGGGTCCCTCTAGTGGTACGCAGACAAATGTATTTTCTTTGTTCTTTGGTTATTCTCAATCAGGCATGGACAAACTACAGCCTGTGGGCCAGATGTGGGCCAGATGTGGTCCACTGCGAATCCTAATCCGGTCAGCAAAAATCTGGGAAAAGTATGGTGAAGACTGATGTCAGGATCTGTGCATAAAAAGCTTACATGTGCAGTTTGGAGCCATGCCCGACCATGTGCCGTTTGCCAGACACTGTCTTGTAGGAGAGCCAGTGAGGTAATAGCCTTCCATGCAAGAATATACAATAGAGTGGGAGAAGGTTGTTCCATCCACCCGGGAAACACGGCCGTGAGTAGGGGTCCCGGGATTAGCACACTGTACCGCTGGAAAAAGGGAGAGAGAGAAGAAAAAAGAGGAGCTGAAGGTCAGAGGTATGAAAAACAGAATGCAATTTTCTAATTATCATATCAGTGATTTACAAAGCTGAGGGTTGAGACTCCCTCTGGGGGCAGCGCGATGATTTTCAAAGGTTCCATGCATGGGTGTCAAAGTCACAATAATCTTTAGGCCAGATTTATACAAAGCAGGAAGGGGCAGGCGGTGTGGGGGGGATTGTTTTTCATATAAATACCCTACATATACTCAATGAAATTGACTGCATATAAAAGATTACATTAAAGTCTGATAGGAATTAATTTAATTGAACAAACATGTTTAATTAAATGCAAATATTTATAACATGAATGAAAAATGTAAATATATATTATATACTTTTGTAAAATATAAAAATTTAAAAGAACACAAAATACATACATTTACATTTGTGTTCATAATCAAGTTAAAATATAGACATGTAAACTTATTTTACACTGTATAATTGTAAATATATTTTATTATAAACGCTGCATTTCAGAATCTATTGGCCAAGACACGCTCTCCCGCGGGCCACATCTTTGACACCAATGATCCAAATGGAATGCGTTTCTAGCTTTCAGCCAAATAAACACTTTCCAGATAAGATCTATTATCACTCGCATGTTTCGATTTCAATGACACTGTAAGGCAGATTTATGCAGCATTAGAGTTTATCTCAAACAAGCAAATAAGCAAAACCGGTGCCGTCCCACAACAAACCCATATCTAATTACAAATCAGCTACAGGTAACCACTGTGACGTTTGTAAACTGTGGAGTGTCGCAGCAAACGAATCGTACCAATCTTTATGTCAGTACACGTTACTGTGAATATGTATATAATAACATATAATCATATTACATCAACTCTCACCAGTGAGTTCAACATGAGGTAAACACACTGTAGTAACTTTGAAGGTCAAACCATCTCAGATTTGGAGCCGTCTAAAGCACAACCTGACCTCCGGTGTTACATTAGGTGTGAAATCCTTGTGGCTGGCGGTCTCTGTGGAATACTAAAGTGTTAGTCATTTATAACAGAAAGCTCAGGTTATGGCCTTTTCCCCTTAGACGACAGGCAAACTTTGTCCTTGTCGGGAGTAAAGAGTTCAAAGTTTTTAATGTGGTTTTCTGTTTCAACAAATCACGTGTCATGATTTGATCTTTAAGTGAAGTCAAGCCTAATGTGCTGGAAAAACGGAAGAAATAGACACATTGGTGAAGCAGTTGGTTTCAATTACCATACTACAACAGCCATGCACATACACGCAGCTCAAACAAACTGCTTATATTCAAAATTGATGTAAATACACACAAGGTCGTGTACACGTGAGAACAAACTGACGAATGATAGACTTGAAGGCTTCCTGTCCTAATTAGTCAAGACAGGCGAGAGAAATGCAAACTAGACCTTGATGGCATATTGTGAGATGGATATTAGGCTGAATATCCACATCGACTGTTCTCCAGAGACTGTTAAAAGGTTGTGTATAACGGATGGATGGGCTTTAACGTTAGACAGGGCTTTAGATCAGAGAAAGGCAGCGTTCAGGCTTCAGTGGATTCCTACTCCACCCTCCCAAGATGGAAAAATGGGAGGGTGGGATAAAACAATCTTTAAATCAGAGGTTCACTAGAGAGGCTGTGAGATAAATAATAATAATAATAAAAAAACAAAGTTGGTGAAGGGTTGGCAGCTTGGACAGAGAAAGGCCACCACACAACAAGACCGACTCTTTCCTTACAGAAGGCGAGTCACGCAGGAAGCCAGGGGAAAAAGTCCAACATCAATGGAAATGAAGGATAAAAGAGCAGGGAAATATGCACAAAACATGAGAGGTGGAATAAAAGTCAGATACACAGAGAATAGTTCAGAGGGCCTTGCATTTCTCTGTCCTACTAAAAAAACCGACATTGGTACTCAGCCAAGCTACAACAGGCAGTAGGTAGAGGAGAGGATGAGCGCTGCAACATTTGCCTCAATATCGAGTTGACCCTTGAGGGTAATTTATGCGAGATTTAGAGGCGGTGCTCTGTGAACCAATATCTTCAAAATCCACAATGATTCATTTATCAGCAACCAAAGAGAGCTTGGCTTTAGGTGTCTGGAATTAATGCATTTTTTTAACAATATATGGAAGCCAGGCACAGTAGCCCGAGCTGGCAGGAAATACACGACTGCAGCAGAGAGATACTTATCCATCTGGTGCAATACTGAGTGGGCCTCTGTGTGTGTGTAGGTGTGAATTCACACCAGCGCTGATCTGTGAATCCAAGTTGTTGCTTTGTTGTTGATGATTGTAGCAAAGTTTGTAGAGATACAAGGGTTCAGGGTGAGATTTGTCACCACACAGTGTCTTCACACAAACAAGAAGACTTTTTTTTCTCTCTTTTTCTATTTATTTCCTCCAGGCACAGAATGATCCAGATTATTATGAACACAAGCTCACCTGATGATTTCTGTTATTTTCTGATATTGTGTTTTATAAAGAATGATTATTACATTCATTGATGGCCATTATTTATTTTAAACAGTGTGCTTTTGCTGTAAAAGTGATGCACACTCCCACATGGCTGCAACCTTAATTTGTTATCCAGCAAGATCCAAAGAGTTTAGGAGTTTGGGAGAAAATATTTAATAAAAAGTTTATTGAAATCAGAGATGCAGTGTTAGTGTGGGGGAGAGAGTCAGAAGCAAATACAAATAGAAATAATAATAATAGAAATTTGGTAAAGGTTAAGCCACTAGAGCAAAAGGGTTTTGGAAAATAAAATTATTAAAAAGAACAGACTAGTGTTTCTATTTGTATATGGGATAATATATATATATTAACTGTTTAGTTAGTTTCATGCACAAACCCACAGTTTTAAAACAAACTTATGGTTTGGTAAATTAAACTGGTGTAAAAAAAACCCACATTTATTCATGATAATTCATTTGTGAAACTAAACAGATTACAGCTTCTAGGGAAGAATGATACGTAGCGTTCATCCAACCGTCCATCCACGTTGCTTCAATATACAGTCAACAAACATTAATGTTAATGTAAATAACTTACACACACCGAATGAAAGAGTTCTTGTTTCACCAAAGCATCTAGAGCATTAAATACCATCTCAACATTGAGCATGTACTTGTGGTTGCTTCAACTTCTGGTCTGATCCCTGCCATCAGACCAGTCCGACTGAGAGCATGGTCAAAATGATGCTGTCGCTCTCAATGAATTTTATTTATTAGTAAAACGATTAGATATGGCTGTGTTTGTGCTGCAGGCTGCAGACCGCTGCCCAAGAAGTAAAATTTCTGCTACTTTTACAGAAAGTGTGTGAAAGTCTCAGGCTGCAGACCGCTGCCCAAGAAGTAGAATTTCTGCTACTTTTACAGAAAGTGGGTGAATACTACAATACAATGTTAAGATATACATTTTTAAACAGCTTCAGATCAAATCACTGCTAAAACTACATAATAAAGAAGGACCTGGCCTGAAAATACAGGCTTTTGTTACTGAAGGAAAAATGCTTCTGAAAATTGTTCTATTATCCAAGAGGAACCACATATTTCTTTGTTTATACAGTGACTCACTGAGCTTACGTATGAGCAGCAGTGTGTGTACGTGTGTGTGTGAGATCTTCCTGCATGAATCATCTCTTGTTTCATAAATAACAAAGGCATTTTTGAAAAAAATTCCTTACGTTTGCAGAACGGCTGTCGGCCTGACCAGGTCCCGTTGGGAAAGCAAATCCTCTCTGCTGAGCCGTACAGTGTGTGTCCCACTGCGCAGGTGAAACGCACCTTGCTGCGCACTTTGAAGTTCCCCGCCTCCCTGCTAGCATGAGCAGGTGTTCCAGGATCTCCACAGGTGCCGCCTGAGTCGCCTGCAATAGAAAGGATGAATGAGGATCAACTGGAGAAGGATCAATGGAAGGAAGTGGAGATGGCTTCCAGTGGAACTTGTGTAGGTGCTTGTTCCGGAGTTTGCAGGAAATTACATTGTTATATTGTTTGAGGCCTATCAAGCCGTGGGACCTCTGGGGAGTTCTTACGCTATAACAGTAAATCCTTGGAATCTTCTGGGAAGCCACAATAAAACAAATCACATAATGTAATGATGAGCAGCTGTGAGCAGACCAATGAAGACCTTTAGCTGCTTGACACCGAGAGCCTTCTGTCCATAAAAGACAATAAAAGGCAACCAGCTGTGATGATGACACATCATGGACACAGATTGACATTTGAAGCTTCTGTGTTTTTCATCTCTCATGTCTTTTGTCAAGGATCATACAGTGCTCTCTCTCAGTGTGGTGCGCCACCTACTGTAGGCTGAACCATCATGAATACATTCAAGAAGGACGTCATAGTCTGTTGTTAATGCTCTGTTCATGGCCCTCTGCAGAATGGCCTTAAAATGGGACATGTCTGAGTCATGGATGTCAAGCAGTGATGGAACAGAGGCAGGATGGTGTTAATGCAAAGCCATGAGAACTGCGAGTTCCATGTTGTGATGAAAAATAAACTCACCTAAGTGATGTGCAGCCTAATGAGGTTTTGTGAGTTGGGGCGGAGGGTCTACTTTTACATTCATTATGGTAGTTTTAGGAGGATAGAAAAACAAATTACACTTTAACTGAGGCCCGTCTCATTCACTGAGAGAAATAAAAGCAGTCCAGAAGAGAGAAACACTACTGCAGTAGGCTTCACTTGAACTCAGACAGACACTTTCACTTCACAAGGTAAAACATTTTTACAATGGATTCTGGGATGTGACTTGTTGCTGGCCACTACACACTGGTACTGAAAAGCAAACAGCCTTGAGTTTCTAAAATGTACACGCTCTGCTTTCAGGAATTTCAATGAGGCCCTGTCCAGCTTGGTTGTTTGGCTGTTCTTGCTTGCACAAAGGTTACAACGTTGGAGTTTTATGAAATTATTATTTCTTATTTTCTCAGAGGGAAGCTCCCCAAGGCTTAAATGAAACTCAGCCAATCCTGTTAATCCTTACATTGTTTGACTACTAATTTGATTTTAACCACAGCTCTGCCCCTTTTACTGCCACCTACTGGGTGTATTTTACATTGGTATCAGTTTCCCTGATCACTCGCAAAAGAAAGACACAAACATACAAATCACAATATAACAAGTTTCTGAGACTAAAGAAAAAAAAATCTGTAGTTTGTTGTTTTACAAATCCCCCACTGTACCTTTAAGGCCATGGTAAAATTGGTACATACGTAGTAATATAATGAGATGCATGAAATATGTAATATACACAAACAGACAGTCACTGCCTGTGTGCCATACACTGCCGTACATCTACACAGAGCAGCAAACCACAGCCGTATTACAGGGCGTGTTGACTAAGCCTTGCTGCACAAACACTAAGCTCATAGCTTCCACACACATTCTCCTGCTCACAAGTGCACATTCTGAATGAACCAGGTCAAAGGCGATTGGCTGTGGTTAGCAAATATACATGTGTAACGTGGCTTCCGTGGCATGTACGCGACATGAGGAAGACCCCGGTGTCTCTCACTGCGTGTTTATGCATACGCTGCTCTTTGTGAGTGTCTGACAGGGAAGCTGTGCTCAGTTGTTGCTCTGCTGACTACATTCACTCGTATTTGTGTGCACTGCGTCGTTGGAGTGTGTGTACAGTACATCCCGCTGCATCTGTAAGTGCTTCGTTAGTTTCCTTTAGTTAGACCAGGCAGCTCATCTTGGCTCAGGATGCTCCGTGACAGCTATAATCTCACTAATTGGGATGGCTGTGGATTTGGTTTGAATCTGAGTTAATGTCCGTCCACCAGGCGGCCTTTGTGAAGAAATAATAAGGCCTTCAACTCAGCCATGCAACAGATGAGGACAAAAGGGGAATGGCTTGGCGAGCAGTTTTAAGCCCTCTCTAGCTAATTAACAAGGGAGGACGGATGAGAGGAAGGGTAGATGCATGAATGAGAGCTGTAGCTAATGCTCGGCTTCTTTTTCTCTGGCCTACGTTTGTTGACAGGAGAAAGTATAATGAAGCTTTTTTAATAAGCTGTATCTTCATATTTTACCCATTGAAAGAAACCAAAGAGAATCTTAGAAACCCGCTGAAATAAGTTGTTATGGCTGGCAATTTAATTTTTACCCAGGGTGAACCTGCCTGAGAAAACTCATAACACCCATCAAATCCAAAGCACTTTGTCGAAAACATAAAAAAAAAAAACCAAAAAAACTTTTGAAGTCAAATTCATTCTTATTTTCTCCATTAAAACCTAAACGCCAATCTGACATTTATTTGATTATTTTTTTTAACATCATCAGAAAGAAATACTTTCACCTTCTGGCACGAAACAAATAGTGTGCAGAATATTAATATTTAATTAGAAGTTGTTTATTTAATGTCAATTATAATCAGTGAAGTGTTTCAATTTAGTTTGACAGTTAGGAGATATTTATTTTCTAAGCGCCTTCTATCTAAAACTAACACCTACATTCATTTAATTATTAGCTTAAACTTCACTGTATCATCAAAAAGTTTGTATTAATTAATACTTCTTGTACTTTATAGTTGTGTCAGTTTGAAGTTTATGTTGATTTTTGAACTACGTAGTTTAGTTTTAATAGCATTTTTACTAGTCTACCGACTCTTCTGGAAATAGATTCTAGAGCAGCTGTTCGATGGAGCTACTGTTACAGTCCAAAGTAATTCAATTTGCTTTTTTGTGGTACAAACGCAGGACATGTAATCAAGATCCATTTTATCTACTAAAGCCTGACACAGCGCAGCCTTTTGTCTTCGGCTTGGTGAGTCACAGCATCATTTATTACGGTTAAATCCCCCGATCACTGACCCGGTGCTCGTTTTCTGCTGCACAAATTCCTCCACAGGGGTTTATTCTCTAAACAGCCATTGCAGTTTGACAGTTTAAATACTTGGGAACATTTCCATGTTGGCTTCACATATCTCAGTTCTCAAGTGATAAGTTGAGTGTGATTAGGTTTTGGACAAGTTAAATCAAATGCACTTAATGTAATTTGGTATTATATATTTCCTCCAGAATAAAAGCAGAGTGGGAGTGCGTCAGATTCCTTCAGACAAAGCCGAAGCAGTGGAGCTCAGTGTCAGGGACACAAAACTTGGAGTGAGAGATAAAATTAAATATCATCCAAAATTACAAATCATTACTTTGAAAGAGGCCCGTTTATCAAAACAGCGGGGTGCACATGGAATCATCTCAATAATAGATGCAAAATTGCTTCAACACTAGGTGCTCCAAAAAGGGGAAGAAAAAAAGAAGCAGCTCCAAAAACAGTTGTAATGATCAAGCCAAGAAACTATTACGTTGATCACAGCGGGTAATTATTTTGGCTGGAACAAAGACGAGTTCGTGCTACTACATCTCAGTGTTACTCCTTCTATTGTCACAACTCTAAACCACTACGGAGAGGGAAAAATAGATTCAAGTCTGTGGAATCTCACATTCTCTTCCAACTGTCTGTTGAAGCCCACTATTCCCTCTGCGCTACAAACCTTTCCAAGTACATAAAAAAAGAACATTAAAGGTGAACAGACAGTTCATGCACCGGTTTGAAGGAAACTCTGTTATACAGGTCCGATTATTTCAGGTCAAAGAGTTGAACAAATCAAGTGAAGGTTCCGTAGAGAGAGGGAATCCACTTTGAATGGTCAAGAATGTTTAAGCGCGATGGGAGGAAAGTGAGCAGTGGGGATTAGGCAGTTTTCAGAAATTCACTCTGAACTCACACCTGTCTTTTAGGAATGTCAGACACAGGTGCTACAACTGAATGTAATGAAAACAAATTCAGTCACAATCCTCACATCTGAACATTTGCTTCTGCCCATTCTTCAGTGGAGACATGAAGTCAAGTTACGGACCGTGAAGAGTGACGGGGAAAAGGTTTGGTTTATTCGGCACTGGCTCGATGTTCATTACAGCAATGAAGACGCAAATCACACGAGAGCCTGGTCTTCAAGTGAAATAGTAAAACTGTTGAGTGGGGGGAATTGGAGGATAATGGTGGCAGAAATATAATGCAAGTCCGCTATGCAAATAAATCATGCAGGAGTTACACGGAGTCTGAGATCTGACCACACTGTGCAGCATTTTGTGAATGTCACAAAGGCACTGAGAAAATATTTCATTAATGCCAGGACTCCCTGGACCAGCAGTGCTGTGTGTACGTATGATAATGGGCTTCAACTTTCAACATTTTGCCAACATCTGTTCCTTAATTACAACGTTATCTGGCACATTATATATCTGCACAGGAGTCCATTCTCCTGCGTTTTTTTTTTAAAGCATTCACGAAATTTATACAACTCAGCAGCAACTTGCCTCCACAAAAAGGATGTCGTGATTAGTCTGTGTAATATGCACACGCTGCTGTGAACAGTTCCACTTCTTACTGCTACAGAATAGTTCTCACGGAAACTGCTGACTGTGAATATGTGGGAAACCAAAACTTTTTTTCTGAAATAAAACATTTGGCTGGTGATTTTATTTTATGTTCTGAAGACGACAAATGGAATTCCATTATTTTACTGAAATAATACCAAGAATATACTGGAAATGTTGACTTTAAAAACTTTAAAAATCTATTAAATGACCATGAAATGATGATTAATATACAATACATTTAACAACAGACGTTCTGTTACCTGAGCAGTGGGGCAGTGGACCACTCCAGTGACCGTTCAGCTGACAGGTGAGTGATGAATCTCCCATTAACTGATGTTCTCCAGAGCAGGAGTAACGCACTGTGGAGCCAAAGGTAAACTTCTCTCCACTCATCACTCCGTGGGGAGGAACACCTGGGTGACCGCAGTCCACCTCTACATGAGAGAGTGGAGAGAAGAAGTTAGTTTAGACATGGAGCTGTCTCAACCAACCATCATTGACCAAACTGAGACCAACGTCCGACCAGCTTCACATGTTGCAGGATAATGAGTGTACGATGAAGTGACTGACACAATGGTCAAATAGACTGTGAGGGATTTATAATAGTGAGGACAAGGACCAAATACATCTACCTGCTGTTATTTGTCTTCAGGACCCCCCCCCCAAAAAAAAGTTTTTTGTTGTTGTTGTTAATAGGAATGTTACTTCATCTTGATTGGTCACAATTAATTGTAATTAATCCACAGCTGCCGTGTTTTTATTTACATTAATTATTAGTCATATTTCAGACACAAACTGATTAGAGAATTAAAACTTTAATATTAAACTAGTCTAAACTCATCACAAAATAAAACATGTCTTCACTATGAATTATGTTTTTCACTAGATTTGGCACAAATAAGGAAGCAACGAGCCACCCTGAACGGTTGAAACTCAGAGTTAACCTGCTGATTCAGATGTGCTAATTCTTTGACCTTTTCAATCCCACTTATATTTTGCCTCAGCCTTTTTCAGCGTTTTTTTTTCTTATTTTCTAACAAAAGCTGAGATCAATTTTAAACTAAAGCTTTTAGTTTTGACCTTAGTTTCATTTGACCACCACAGAAAATAAGACGTGTTCACCGACTATAAACTGCGTCAGCTTTTAGAACCAGTCACATCTTCACAGCACATCAGTCCACACTGCCTTGATGTATAAGCAAATTACCACCTTGTCTAAAAGGTGAAACAGGAACAGACCGCTGTGCTTTAATTGTTCAGACAGAAATCCGTGTGCCTGCCAGACTCAGCTGCTGAGCAGAGACTGCATGTACTATTGGATGTTCAATTAAATTAATAGGTAAATTCCTGAGCAAGGGCTACAATCTAATTTGGCACAACACCCTGTCTGTAATACTTTATAATTTTCTGACCTTAATAAATGATTGTAGGGCCTGTCAGATGCGATTAGTCCCATAATGCAAAGTAAGCTTCTGAAATGTTATGGAGTTATTTTCTCGGCAGAGACACTTATGCTCACAGCCGTGAACAAACGTCCTTAATTGCTTTGTTTGACAAAGCGAAAGTTGAGACTGAACAAAAAAATGGAAGTTTACCGCTGATGATTCCTGTAGATATAGAGTATGCCATTGGCAGTTTAGGTTAGATGGATGGATGGATGGATGGATGGATGGATGGATGGATGGATGGATGGATGGATGGGTGGATATATAGAAACAGTCTTATGACATTTTCTCTCATTTCTCAATCAGACAATGTGCAGCGTAGCCATGAGCTACAGAGGCGGTGACATTACACAGATGCTCCCAACGCAGCATACGGAAACTTGTACCATTAGAACTACAGAAGCAGGCGAAGGACAAGAGAAAGACGATGATCAATGAAAAGTAAAAGTTCTTTCTTAATGTGACTTTTATTAAAAGTCTATTAATTGAGGAGGAGTCGGATAATGGACACGCTTCTGTACAGATTCTGGACAGATTGACGATAAACAAATGAACAGCATTCATCAGAATTAGCCTGATTCTGATTCATCAATTTAAAATAATGGGCAGATGAGGAGGTTCAGTACCGATGCATTCAGGTAGAGGTTTGTCCCAGTGTCCCTCTGGCTGGCAGGTGAGCACCGACGAGCCGAACAGGTAATATCCAGGGTTGCAGTCGTAGAAGACCACGCTGCCAAATGTGAAGTTGCCGTGCTCGATCTTACTCTCCCGTATGGAGTTGGCAGGGATACCAGGATCAGTGCAGTTTACAACTGTGTGGAAAGGGACAGGAGACGAGGAGAAAAATGAATTCTTCTCAATATATTCAGCCAGTTAAACATAATGAGAGGGAAATATAGGCAGCCGTTCCATTCATTTTAATAGGTGGAAAATCAGGTGTTTTTCAGTGTGATTTTCAACAAATTGCCCGTTAGAAAAACAGTGACAATAATTCTTGTCCCCAGTATTCCTCTTACAGATAGATCTATGTTTACAGATTCAGCACCACATAAACACGGACACACTCTTCATCATATAACAACTGTTATCGATGGATGGAGGGATGAAAGACACAAAGTTGGATGGAGAGAGAACAGATCAATACAGAGGAAAAAACAGCCAGAGCATGACATAAGGAGAGATGGAGTTAGAGAATTAACACAAAGAGACAGCACACTGACTGATGTACATCTGTTACTGCATTAAATACTGGCCAGGAGCTGGCATCCAGCAGTGTTGTGTTGTGTTACTGTCAACACATATGGAACAATGAGCACTGATGATAATCGAATCGTGGTGGAACAGAACAGCACTTTAATTGTTTATTTCTTTGGAGAAGAAACTAGTGTTGACACTAATGTGTATGCATTGCAAACCTAACTTTTTTTTCCTCTGAGCTCCGGCTTCTTAATTGTCACTGAAATGATCATTTCGATTGCAAAGTGTAGAAAACTCTGGTCTCTATGCAGAACTTCAAATGTGTTTTGGAAACAACTGTCACTGTGTACTCCGTGTACTTTGTGAGTGCCAACTTTTGCTCTGTGTAATGAGCGCGAACAGTGGTAGCGCAAGACTCTGCATCCCAGCCGTCTTACTGACGGATTACTGATGCCAATCTGGTTTAGGTTTTACCTGTGTTCTCGTCTGAAAGGCACCGAGACATGCAGTGGAGTGACGACAGGTTTTGGCTGCAATGTCTGCATTATCTTTCACAAAAATATATTAAGTGATTTTTTTTATTGCGTTACCTACACGAATGTTACCTAAATTAAAATATGAATGTCTGTAATTAAACACAATATAAACCTTTAGATCATTCTATACAAAGCAGCAAAGATGAGCCAAGACAGAATAGTTGACAAAATAAATCAATGTTGTCTATGTCCCGACACTGGGCTCTTATTGGACAATCCAGTTGTCAGTCAAAAGCAGTATCAGTTATTTCCTGTTATGAATCAATCTTCTATTATTCTCTAAATTAGTTTGGAAACAGTTTTGACACAGGGAACAGAACTGTTTTGGGTTCTTGAAGAAATCTCACCTCTCATCCAAGAGGCTTCTTCACTTCCAACCGACTGTTCTGGTACTTAACCTGAATGGAGAGTCATTATAGTAAAACAAAGCCGCTGACTGCACCCCGACCCAGGGGAAGGATGTTGTATTCACCTGGGTCGGGCTGTTAAAGAGGGGTTGAGTGAGTCACACAGTCAATACATTTAGAAAAACCTCTGCTTTGTTTTACCCCAACGACTCTCTATGTGGGTATTCAGCCTCTGTGAGGATAAGTACCAGCATTTTCCAGCAGTCAGTCAGAAGTGAAGAGGTCTCCTGGGTGAGCGATGAAACATCTTCAAGAAACCAAAACAATCAAGTTGCATTTGTCTTAGCAGCTTCCAGAATAATAAAAGATTGATTCATAACAGGAAATGACTGAATCTACATATGACTGACAGCTGGATTGTCCAATAGGAGCCCAGTGATGTCATGACATCGATAAAATTGACTTATTTGGTCAACGTGAACAATTATTCCCTTTTGGGACTTTGTTCTTTGTCATCCTCTCACCCTCAGAATTAGCTGGAAGTTTGCAAGGTGACCTAGAACTGCTGTTTGAGGGGATAAACTAATAAAACATTCAATGCCGTTATAAAATGAGTGGTGTGTTGTCTCCTGTTTCATGGACCTAGACAAGAAATATCCAGAGTTACAGCTCTGTCCATTCATTTATATACAGTCTGTGATTATGTCAATAGCGATTTGTTTCTAATTTACCTGACATGAAATGAAAACAAGGTAATATACAATTTGCCTGACACTTTGCCTCATTAACTGCATCCAATATCATCAACAGGGAGGTGACTTCTCTTCCCTGGGAGCCATGCTGCTTTTGGTCTTTGCTGGGTCTCGTTTATATAAATGAAAGTTGTCAGCACGTTCACCTGTTAAGTTAATAATAGCAGGAGTGACATTCCACGGTTGACTTTTCGGTTCCTTTTTTAAACAGAGTGCCATGTGAGTTCAGGTTAAATCGGGACATTGTCTATGTTATGGTAGCGTATGCTGCATAGTGATAAGGAAATACAGTAAAAGTGTCAGACATGTTTACCACGTTCATCCTGCAGTAAAACGTTTTCAAAACATCCACGCTGCTGATAAGGTGACCGAGCTCTGAGAGCAGATGAAGGTGGAGTTAAGAAAAAAAAAAAGTTTAATGTTAATATACCGTCAACAGAGACATTTTGCAAAAGGAGAGTCATGACAGTTTAATACTCTTAATCTTTTATCGGCTCTGTCTCTGAGGTCCCATTTATACTGATGGTAATTTCATCATCTCACATCTGACGGCCAACAAAACTTCTGCCAAGAGACGACGTATTAATAATGGGCTAAGTTGGCAAAAGTAGCTTTTGGTTGACAGAATCTAATTGGGATCCAATTAATGTCTCTATCAAGTTCATTCTTTACGTTGCTAACAGCTGACTGCTTTCCCGCACGTCACGGAATCATTACATCAGCGAGGAACTACTGTGGTGTGAGATTCTGCAAATGAGCCTTAACAAGTCAAAATATCTAATTAAAACTTTTACCCTAATTAAACAGATGTACATGTTTTGTAGTTTAAAATACAAAAGTAAATAAGGCAAGCTTTTTTTACATTTTAATATAGGGTGAACAATAAGCAGATCGGGATCGACTAGTTGTCATTGAACAATAACCACAGCAGGTCTTGTCCAATGATAATAAAACATTTCTATTCTATTCTATTTGACTCAAAAGGAGTGCTTAAATTATATCGTACCACAGAGCTGTAATGTTTATATAAAGTGCGTTCAGTTTAGGTGGAAATCTTAGTGATGGCTCGATACAACTTTTTTATGTTTGATAACGATACTACCACAACTTGGAGAATCTGCCCATACAGATATGAATCTGACACCTTCTCTTCGCCTATCATGCCAGCGTCTGTCACTGCCAGGCAATCGTGTTCCTTTTTCCATTCATGTTGTGCAAATTTAACTGGAGCATTTGATCTTAGGTATCGGATTTAACGGGTCTATAGTTGTTTTCATCGACGTTCCACCCTGAAATTCTTACCAATATCAGACCGAATAGTTCCCGAGTATCGGATCAAGCCATCTCTAATAAATATATAATACATTTTTTCAATGTAGGTCAGTCACTTTAAATAGTAGCTTCCAAAAAAGTGTGGGCACCACTGTTTTACTGTCACGAATGTCTTTTAGGAAACATTTCAAGTATGTTCAGAGAGAAGATGTTGTTGGTTATAAACACACACCACTAATGAGCCAAACCTGTGCCAACTCAAATTGCAGTCTGTCACCATGTGATGGGAAAACCTACTGGGAAGCTGTCTCGCCTTTTCTTTCACCCTGCAAAAATAGCTTCTCTACCATTTTCTGGAGACTCTTCCTGAACCCATTCATTGCCAGTTATTTCCTTTACTCTGAGACCAGTTGCTTTTCATGTTTTAATATGGATGCCCACTGTAGCAGCCAGACAACTGGAAGAGTGTGTGGATACAGTGTCAATGTTTACGTTTCCATCATTGGTGATGTGAGCAGCAGCTCCATCAAATCTGTTTGTACAGTGGCCTGTGTCTGTGAACGCTGGCAGTCACTGGCTGCTGACTTCTAAATGATCTCTGTACATCTGCTAGGCTGCTGCAGTTTTTGGTCATTCTAACATCGGATTCCTGAAGTGACACAAAGCGACTGCAGAGCCTGTTTTATTCTCTCCACCACTTTGACTGGACCGGGGTTCTGCTTGCTGGCTGCCAACTGCCACACTGATGGTTAACCTGATTTACAGAAGCAGAATAAGACAGAGTTGGCCCCAGAAAAGTTGAAGTGTGGCGTGACAAACAGGTTCAGCTGTCATACACATCAGTGACATCTCTCTTCAGACAAAGATCAGATGAAGATGGTTAATGACGTTCCCGAGAAACACAATGCGATTTGAGCGTTGGCCAAATATGCTTGCAGAAACAAAGATTTTATTTTTCAACTTAAAGACACATCTGCAGGTTCCCCCATACATAAGGTCAGTCAAACCAGCCGTCAATTACCTGTTCTGGAATAGCTCTTCAGGTGAACCTTACCTCTGCATGTGGGTGGCTGCTGGCTCCACTGACGGCTGGTCTGACACTGAGCTGTGGAAGGTCCTTCTAAGGTGTAGCCTTTGTTGCAGGAGAAACGCACAACGTCATTGTAGTTGAAGCCATCACCGATGGTGCGGCCGTAGATGGGGCTGCCGGGGTGGCCGCACGTCACAGCTGGAGGTGAGAAGAAAAAGTGATAATGAAAGATGAAGGAGAGAAATTTAATTATGGAAAAAAATGTAAGAAGGAGAAAGACAGTGGATGGAGAAAAAAATGGATGTGTGTGTGAGAGAGATGATAGGGTCAGCAGAGATAATTCAATAAAAATGATCAATAGGTGATGTCATGTGACACCTATCATAGAAATATCATTATCATATAATTAACCTCGCAGAACGCTGGATGAATACGGAATCAGGACGTGATGCAGATTGGAAAAGGCTTAACGTCAGAGTCAGAGCATCAATAAGTGAACAGGAGATTAAAAATCACATTATGAGGATTTTTTATCGATCGCTGACTTCAGTGCAGCACAGACTAAAGTAGTAACAAGCCTTGGTTTCTGCATGATGTTCGGGTTTGTTAAATAAAAACAAAAACTAACCAATACCTGCTTCTCATAAAAAACATTGGTTGTTTCATTTATTATTTTTGTAGCAATTGAAAAACGAATTAAAAAACAATTTCAAAGACTTATTAATGGGTCAAACCCCCAAAATTATAGCATTGATCATCCTTAATTACGAAAATCACTGCTTACTCATAAATAAATATATAAAAATAAGTGGTCCTCCTTTGTTACACAAACAGAAAAATATCCTGCTGACTACAATTTGGTCAAATTAAATCTAGGTCGACCTTGCATGAAAAAACAAAACAGACAATCAAAAAAAAAAGTTTTAAACAGTAAAAGACAGAAATATGTGTTAGTGAACACAGACACCACTACCCCTGCAGGGGGTGCTATAAACAACTTGCATGACCTAGTCCTGGAGGTAACACAAGTAACTTTGAATACTTTTTTATGGAATAAACAATCCTAAAAATATGGCACAGAAGATATTTTCATATGTTTTTAATTATTATAACAAAATGTAATTTTTTTTAAAACTATCGACTTCTGCCAGGCCAACCTGCTGATTGCCTGTTAGCAGCTCAGGATTTATTTCACAATATTACTGAATACTCTACCTACAAACATGACATGTTCCTACGGATACTTACGGATACAAACTGGGAGCTGTCCAGACCAGCTGTGGTCCTGCTGACAGATCCGTACTGAAGATCCGATCAGCCTGAATCCAGGGTTGCACTGATAAACCACTGTGTCCCTGTAACCAAAGTTCTCCCCAATCACCTGTCCATTAACAAATGGCTCTGGGACACCACAGTGTCCGGCTGTAAGGACCGTGGAGACAAACACAGAACACGCATTAGCAAAACACAAATAATAAAGAGTGAAACATCTCAGGCACATGCTCATAGTGTACCACACTCGGGTTAGACTTTCCAACATTTAATAACAGCAGCCCGCAGTGATGCACACTGAGCTGACGGAGGACATTTCTGTGGACATTTTTATGTTGTTCCCACACAAAGTAATTTTGTGTTTTGACATTTGTGTTGTAAAATGAAATGATAATTTTAAAGGTCCCTGGAATACAATGTGGGAAAACAAATGAGTGTATTCATTGGAACATAATGGCTTTAAAAATAAATGTTTCGTTCAACTCATTATCCCTGAAATATTGTTGATAGATTTACAATGTCTTCAGCATTATTCATTATGACAACACACCATAAGAGACAGACATTGGTGATGTAATTCGGCACAGGAATTTATTCCAATTCCTGTCCCATTGTTGATTTCATTTATCGATTCCACCCCTTATTGATTCTCCTATTGATTCCCATTTGGCTAGGAAACAGAATACAGTTGGAACAGGGTTGTACGCACTAAATTTTAATGGAAATATTTAGCATTTCATTGGACAGAAATGGAAACTGCATATAAAAATATCCTATAGACATTTTTTTAACTAACAAACCTGTGGAACAGGAAGCTGAGGCAGCCTCTTGGTGACATTAGATGAATTAGTCAGTGTCAGAAAGAGACTGTATTAAAGCTCAAACAGCTGTTCAATTTGGCTGACACTAGGAGAAGAGGGGTTTTTAATGTTGTTTTTGAAAGCAGCCCATCTTCATAATCTTGCTGACACTCATCTTGTACCAATAATTTAAAACCATAAACGATCGGAAATAATCTTCATCTAAGTGTAATTATAGGAGATGGACATTATTCCTACACTAAGTGAAGGCAGGTTGACACACGATTGGCTCCATCATTAACACAGAACGCGACCTGGATACGTTCAGTGTTACTGGGGACATTGAGACTGATAAGACTGTGTTGAAGGCTCTGCCCCAGAAGTCAACCAAGAGTCATCACCATCATAACTACCACTAAAAGAACTGATTCTCCACTACTATATCTAGATATAATTGTGCTTATAATTGACAGGACTTTCGCCAAAATTTCCACTGCCACTCAAAACATGAATATATTCCTGTGCGTCTCAGTTGCCCTAATTTCCCCCTCCACCCTCAGACTCAGCTGAGCCTTGAATTACCACGCTCCAGCGGAGAGAGGCCCGATTCTATGAGGATGAGCTGCAGCGGTTGACAGAGCTTGGAGGTCATCCCAGCAGTCACATCCAAAAACAAAAGTGAGGTGCTCTTTCAAATGAAGGCGACCGGTCTTGTACTGGGCCTGAACTGTAGTTGCTGGTGTGAGGTTGATAAATGGACTCAGAGTTCTGCCAGAGAAGCTGTCCTATTCTGCTGCTGCATGGGCTTCAATGCGGCTCAAGTAATTACACGTGTCTCATTGTTTTCTACAGTACAGAGCTGTGACGGATTGTGAGAAGTCAAGCTGTAGTGTATGTTTATGGACGATGTTCTAACAACAGCTCCAATTGTGCCGTTTTAGCGTGAAAGATGTCTGTACTATTCAGATAACCAGTAGCTACGGACTCCCATTCAACAGAAGGACAAAAATAGCCCCAACAAATTAGCGTTAGCTGCACAGATTGCTACACCTGAGGCGAGATGCATGTGCCCAGACATTTACATTTAAAAAAAATCTGACGTAATGACAACAGGCTGGTCAGAACAAAACAAAAAAACTGATCTGATATTTGTAATTTTCAAGAGTCTTTGGTTTTAGAAAGTCTGTAACACAAACAGGTAAAGCCATTTCCAGATCAACTTTGTATTAGGGTTAGACGTTTGTCAGTTCATAACATTTGATTATCAGAATTCTGAATCTTTAGACCTTCAGAGGTTTAGCATTCTCTCAAAATGTTTTATTATCTTGTTTGTTTTGAAAAAGTGTTAGTATTAGTATTTATATAAAAAGGAGAGTATTACACATTTGAACATCTGTGCTCACTATGATTTGGCTTTCTAACACTTTTAATTTCTGTACTTCAAACCAAATGTGGTTTAACCATAAACATCATATTTGACAACCTCAATCAAAGAAAAATCCAGACATTTGCTTACCCAGGCAGTGAGTCTCCATTCCACTCCACAGACCCGACAGCAGACACTCTCTGACGGTGGAGCCAGTTAAAACATAACCAGTGTTACAGCTGAAGATGGCAGACGCTCCAAAGGTAGTCTGCGTTCCTATTTTGTTCCCATTAGGAGGAATGGGCAGATTGCCACAGGAAATGACTGCAATAACATGTAAAAGATAATAGAGAAGAAAAGAAGACGAAGGTGAGAAGACAGCAGAGGTGAGAGCAGGAAACCAGAGAAATGAGATTCATCTGCTCACATCTGTACAATCAATAGGAGAACACAGTCAATTACAGCCTTTTTGGAAGAATTAATACAAACAAAACATTGACCTAAAGGTATTTAGGTTTGGATCCTTCATCCTGGCCACTCAGTACTTCTTATTTGTAAGAAATGATGTAATTCACAGTGCAGTTAAATGTCTTTCAATAGTTTTTTGAGGTCTTAACAATATCTACCGTAGGCAGTGGTGGTTATAGGTCCAGAGTGTGAAAGTGAATCCAGCAGCTGCAGATGAGGTGAGCAGTGAATATGCCATTCATTCAAGTCCTATAGTGTAGTCTATGGTGCTGTTGACCCCACTGTGGGACATACTGTAGACGTTTCACTCTGGCTGTATGACATTGTCCAATTTCTTTCAATTTCAACCTTTCACTGAAACTAATGAAATACACACCCACAGTGTATTCTTTGTGCTGAGACTAAATGCTCCATCTGTGACTGTAAACGAGGTTTGATTTCTACAGACCAAACATCTCCAGAATGTTTGCTAGAATTAAGTAACTTTTTTTGGTTCTTTCTGACAACATTTGTCACACATTTTTAATCAATTTACACGTTCTAGAAGTCACTCACTTCTACATCGAGGTCTCTCGTTCCTCCAACTCCAAACACCATTGGACAAGCACTGGATGTGGGCGGGGCCAACACGGTAGAATCCAGGATTGCAGGTGAAAATGATTTTTGTGCCGTACTCGTAGTGTGAGCCGTTAACCACCCTCCATTTCCCGTGGTCCAGAGAGAAGGAGCTGAGACTGGGACAGCTCATGACTGAGGCAGGAGGAAAACAAAAGCTGATTCAGTGACTTTTGTTTTTCAACAGAATTACTTGTGGTTCAGTTTTCCTTTAGTCCCTCGCGTGCACACTGCCGAGACAAAAGCCGTAAAGACGACGTGCAACGTCCCAGAAGTCAAGTAGACGAGAAAGAGTTGCGAAATTAAAATTTAACAAGAACAAACTCAAAGGAAAATTAAGGAATGCATTAAATGTTTAATGCAACACTTCTGCAGTTTCTGTACAACAGCAATGTCCCTAAATTGGCACTAAAAACAGAGGGGTTTTAAACAAGCCGTTTCCTCAGCAGTTAGACACATTTACAGTAAAAAAAAAGAAAATAAATTTGTAGTTAATGCTGTCAGTGACTCTTGACAAAAGCAAGTGTCACAGAATATCTCAGGATATACAGTATATATATATATATATATATATATATATATATATATATATATATATATATATATATATATATATATATATATCCTGATATTATGTTGTTACTAATAAACCTGCAGTTTGAATGAGCAATCTTTTTCAGCAGGCATGCATTTTCTACAGGAAACTGTATAGAGGAAAAACCAAAAATAATCTCCAAGTTCTGACACAGCCTTTGAGAGCTGCAGCTCCACACAACTCACCGATGCATCGAGGTATCTTGTTGTGGTTGCTCCAGGTACCGTCTGGCTGACAGACCGTGGTCGTCAGTTCTTTGGAGGAGAGCCTGTAGCCACCGTTGCAGAAGTAGGTCACCCGAGTGCCGACGGAGTAATCGGCAGCGAGGACACCTCCGTTCACCGGCGCACTGGGCACACCGCACGACACAGCTGCAAATGAGGAGGGGATGATTGTTGACATGTTTATGCATATGCAGTATAAGATGGAGTAAATTTTGCAGGGAGTAAACACAGTCAAATTTAAATGGAACAGACTCAAGTTTTTAAGCCCGTAAAGTTTTTTTTTAAAATAGCAATTCGCCTAAAAGATCTGTATGGGAAACATAATCCTGAGTAATATTTGTTTTTCATTTGTTATGCAATCAAGTTCAATAATTCCTCAATTGCTCATCTGAACGGCCGTGGATAGTTCTGACTCCGGTTTCTAAACCCTCACTATGTCTCATCCAATTATCTTTGCAGTTATTGTCTTCTCTTTCCATCCCTGTGCTCAGACCTCTATCCAGTCTCTTCGAGGAACCAAGGCAGGCCATTATATCAATTACAAGAACCTTATCCTAATTCAAACAGAGCAATGGCACCAGGCAATCAGCCAGACCTAATACAGATGTGTGATTTAATACACACAGGTTATCACTGTATTATTAAATACCAACCTGTTTTAAAGTTCCAACCTTGTGACTGTAAATCTGATGGTAAATGATGTAGAATGTAAGACGATGTGTGTCCACAGTCCATATCAGTCAATTTAAAAAATATATTTTCTTATATTTCCAAATGGTAAAACTGTGTAACCTAATACTACAGTGTTAAAAAACAAAGAAAGAAACAGGAGATTCTCCACATCACGGTGTGTTCCAGCATCTACATCACCTTAATCTTTACGTGGTTTCACTGCCTTAGCAGACACACTAAAGTCAAACTGGAACGGTTTAAAGGTGTTTATTATCGTCTGGGGACCTGGAGGAGGCCAGGAGTGAAACGACGAGGGGAACAAACATCTGTGGGGTCACAGCGGTGACATTTTTACAAACACATCATAAAACAAAGAAGCAATTGTAGCTGCAGATTCAAAGGAGGAAGGGGGGGGGCACACTCACATCTAACAGAAGCTAATTAGGGGTGGGGGAAATGTTTCCGTACTGCATATGAAAAATTGTGACTTTACAAAGACCGAACCTTTAACACAAGGCTGTGTCAAGGCTGAGAAGGTCACTTGCTGTGAAAAACTGTTTAAGGTCACTGCCATTTTTCCAACGGGCAGAAGTGAGGAATGAATATACTGCATAATTTGAATCAGATTCTCAGTCATACACTATGGACTGGAGAGAGTGGAGGAGTGAAGGTGCTGTGGTGAAACCTCCGTCATCCATCCGATAACAGATGGAGAGCATCTGCCTGTTATGTCACTTCATTTGCAGCCACTCTGGTTTGGATGCTTTGAAAAAGCTGCACGCAATTAACAACCTGACAGAGTCAATTACAGGTGCAGTGTTTTTAAAATGTTCTTTAAAATACAACAACATACAGTAGATATAAATACATGTCAATTTCATGACAGCACGATAAAATAATATTCAGAACACCATCTGCTGCTGCTTATCGCAGCCTGTCTTCCTTTGCACCAAAATACCCAGATATTTCATGTGTGCATCAAAGAAGCCAATTACTTGAGTGAGACCCAACAGGAGCCGACGCTGCATGCTAATAGCAAGTTAGCCAAAGTAATTTCAAGAAGTGGAAATTGACAGAAGTAGGAGAAATTGATTTCTGTTTCTTTTCCACCTGACAGGGCTCAGGCTCTCCATCAGCCTCCACTCAGTTCTGCTGCTAACTACATGGGAATGTTTGAGGGCGAGAGGCTCACGGATGCCTTTATGCGCTTGCCTGTGTGCTGCTGAGAATAAAGGTTCTGGAGCAGTGACCAGAAGATCGGGGGGGGCTGGCTGAAAGTTGAAAATTAAAAGCTGCCAGAGCCGGTGAGCTCACCTTGACACGCGGGAACTGGAGCATCCCAGGCAAAGTAGTCATATGTGGTCTTTTTGCACACAGCTGTGCCTTTTCCAATCAGCTTGTATCCCCTGTCGCAGGCCCAGCGTACCACACTGTTCAGATGGCCCCCGGTCTGGCTCACGACAAACCCATGTTGTGGGGAGTCAGGTGTACTGCAGTACATGGCTGCAAAGTTGGAGTGATTTAGGAAGAGGGGGCATGATGGGAAGATGGAAAAGTCAAGACACACGAGACAAGGTGAGAATGAACCAGAGGCAGTAAACGGGAAAACACAGGCAGGTAAGAAGAGCAAGAACAGACAAAGACCAAAACAAAGACAGCATTAGCTAAAGTTATATATATATATATATATATATATATAAAGAAACAGGAAAAAAGAGTTTCATCTTCATCTGTCATAACTACTTAGCTTCAATATATTTATTTACCAAGAGTTACTTTTTTAAACGTAGCTTTGATCAAGCAGGAAGAACACAACAATGCTAACAAGGTCACATATTGGAACTAAAATTAAAAATCAGCAGTGAAGCTGAATCAAAATAAAGGTTGTAAATGAACATTTATTTAGCTGCTTTAAGGTTTTTGAAACTGATTCAATCAATACAACTTTTTTTTATCATTTAATGCTTTAATATCCGATTTAAGTTTTAAAACATTGAGGCCATAGGCTGTGTTACACTGCATGTTACAGAAACAGCCCTGCTGATATAGAGATGACTTCCTGTGTAGATAGTTTGACTGTGTTTTAATAAGGATGACTCAGTGCTAGCACCTTTACTCCTACTTTAAGTATCTGCAGACACCAATACCTATCCAGTACCTTCATTTCTCCTTTCTGAAGTTCTTAAGAATTCTGACTCAGCAGCTCTATTCATACAATCAAATGAGAATTTTCATGCAAAAGTTTAAACCAGATTAAACCAGGTTATAACCAATAAAATGGGGCTTTAATTTCACACCTGATGTGGCCCGCACTTCACTGACGTAGACAAAAGTTAAAGATAATATCAACAGCATTTGCAGGAATTATTTAGAATTTACAACGCAACAGAGTAGTTTAGCCATGCCATTGGATTTCTCTCTCATTTAAATGAATGCTAATTCCATAGGGCTGTCATGATAACAGCACTAGGCTAACTGACTGCCAGTCAAGTTGCTTATATGACATACTGTATGTTGTGGTGCTAGCATCTCTCTAATCTTGTGCAGAGTTAAGTGTTAATACGATAGTGTGGTCTTAATGTCTCGTTGGATCCGATCCACGAGTGGATGTTGATTTCTGGCCAACATCTTGTCGCTCCGCTGCCAAGTTATTAACACACACAGTCTTACACTGTCTAACTATTTACTCATGTAAACCATCTTTACTACATCCTTACAGATGAGCATGAATTACCTTATATGTTTAGATAAGTAACCTCAAAGAGCTTGTGTGCCTTTTTTCATCACTATTGAAGCATTCACTGCAAATGGAAGGTGAATCACCAGCACTACTTTGGCTTATCAGTCACTGTTCTATCAGATCATTTGTTAAGAATTGAAATTCCTGTATTAATTAGGAAGCATAGATGTGGAGTAGCGCAGTGGATCGTTATCTGCCTTTTCATACACACAGACCTCTAAGGTCAGTTTCTATCCCTGACAGGAGCTGGTTAGGAAGAAAAAAAAAACTACACAAAAACCCAACAAAAAGTATTTCTGCAAAAATTCACTCATTAAAAAAGTACAGTGAATATCATCAGGCATTATCATCACACTGGGGTAAAAATCATGGGGTCATTTCATTTGCATAATAACATCAAATGTTTGCAGCGGTAATGGTTTATTTAACATTTTCCGATGCCTGCTGATTAAACGGCTCTCACTAACAACTGTTAACCCATGACTTTTATCACCTTTTTGCAGTGTGAAGTCACAAGTAAATATTCAAGCAAAAAAAGAGTATGATTATAAGCTGGATACATACTTTGATACTCACCCACGTATCTGATATGGAAACCACGTCTGTTGGTGCCGTGATCAGAGGACCAGCGCAGCAGGAGCTGATGACCGGTGGTGGTCAGGCTGAAGGGTGTTTCAATGTCACCACTGAGTGAGGCCAGGTTTTGGCTGTAGATGTTGGGCCCTGAACACAGTAGTAAAAAAACACAGGTTTTTTTCTTTTTTCTTTCAAATTTAGTTCTGTATGTGAATGTAAACTGGACTGTAGTCAATCTAGTTTCTTGAGCAACAGAGATTAGCAGAATAGTAGAGAATAGTTTGGTAGATTTCAGTTTTACATCCGTCAGCTTTGCAGCTTCTTTAGCCGAAACTGAAGCCTTGTCTTAGTGTTGGTTGATTCAAACATAGATCGGTGGATCTTTGGACTGACTCATATTTAAAGTTAAGAAATGCATTAAATATCTCAGAAGAACCCACCATCAAAGATTTCCAAAATGTCAAACTCCTTTTCCGTCTGGAAAAGTTCAAAGTGCAGAGTGATGTTGTAGCCCTTCTCCACGTTAATGAGCCAGGAACACATCTGGAGATTGGGGTAATTGTCAGGGAAGCCTGGACTCAAGATGACACCCGTGGAATCGAAGCGAACCTCATGGGCTGGACATTGTACTGAGGAGAAGAAGAAAACACAGAGGGAGTGAAAGAGAAGAGCCAAGCCTGGTCTGAGGAAAACCAAAGTTGTGGAGGAGAAACACTGGCAAAAAAGACAAATAAATCAGGAGGACGGCAGACTAGAGCAGGGCCCAGAAGAGGGAGCAAAGTTAAGATGAGGTGAGGGAAGCAGAGGTGGGGAAATGCTCTACAGTGACAGCAAAAATTACGCCAGAAAAATAACTAGTCCTGAAACAATTATTTCAGAGAGAGGGCTTTTAGAGCAGAGGGTGAAGCTGGAGACTCTACTGTTGTCACTAGACTCCCCTGACATCAATCCATCAAATAATTATACTCAGTGGGTGAGACAGCACATTTTTTGGGGTGGGAGGGTGGGGGTGGTATGTGTGTGTGTACACGTGCGTGCGTGTGTGTGTGTGTGAGTGCTCAGAGCTCTCTTCTCTTCCTGTAGGCTGACGTGTCTGAAATAATGACAGTTCTGTTCTTTTCCTTTTCCTTTCTGCTGGTCACAGACCATTCTCTCTCAGGCCACTGTTGAAGGAACATGACTCCGATAAAAGGTTAACGTGAACAACTGTTTGAGGTAAAAAGGTCACAGGAAACAATGGGTCATATTTCACGACAAAAAAAAAGAGAGAGACAGAGAGGGAGAGTGAGAAAGAGAGAGAGAGGAAACAGAGCAACATCAAACAGTGTGAATATTTCCACCGGCCAGTCACTGCAAAAAGTGTCAAGGGCTGGAACTAAAAATATATTGTGGCTCTAAGGCAGAGAAAAACAAAAGATTCACGAAGTCAAAGTCAGCAGTTTTCTTGGCAGAAAAAAAAAAAACAAAATTAAAAAAAACAAAACAAAACACTGGTGAATCAGTATTTAAAGAGGCAGAGTCTCGGAGGAAAACATATTTGAATACAATATCAATGTAGAAAAGAAATTAATGGAACAACTTGGTCATTATCAAAGATCCACATTTGCTTCCAAACTAAAATTCATTTCAAATGTATTTATATTCTCTAGATTTGTGAAAACAGCTTTTTTCAGCTAAGACATTTAGGAAGAGAGAGTATCTGTTGAGTGAAGACTTGATTTTGCAGTTGGAGATAAGTCTGCCACGTTTGATTTTTGCAGGAGTTACGGCTGTGTGATGGTGTTTGGAGTTCAGGATGGGATGTTCAGTCGTCAAAATGGCAGCAGTTAAAATCCTCTCTGCTGCACATCTCATGCATCTCATTCACAGATCCTCCGTTTATTATAGCGTTGTGGAACATGTTCATGTCGAATCCTGACGGAGCCTGCACCCCTCCATTTGAACAGAAATAGTCACTGTTGTGCCTTAATGGAGCCGTTTCAGAAAACGGTCTGCACTTTTGATCATTTCGATTCCTGATCTTTGCATTTCCTTCACTAAAGGACAGCAGGGCATGACAAGTTGGACATTTTAGGTCAGAAAATACAGCTGAAAAGTTGTGTTATGTAGTTTTGGTTATTTCTTATTAAATAATTCTCAGTTCATGTTTAATAACCCAGTGCTGCCAGGCAACAAATACAGGTCTGTCTTTTAGAAATAGCAAAACTGTTTTGCCTCAAACGTTGATGCATTATTAAAAAAAACAAAAAACAAACACTAATAATGAGAAATCTAAAATTGTTTCCATCGCCCTTTTATTGCTGCCGTATGAGTTTTGAGGCAACCATTAAAGGGATAAGACATCGCTCTGAGCGGAATATAGCATTGCATTATACTGGCTACAATTGAATTCTTCTAAACTTGAATGTGTTAGAAATGAATCATGTCATTTGCATTTCCCACAATCCCCTGTAATCCATTCTCAAACCACTTGTTATTTGTTCCAGTACTGTATCTTAGATGTTGTTGACAAAGAACGGAGATGTGTTTTGATTGTTCACTTTTCCTTGAGGAAGTTCGCTGAAGAACCTTGATTCATAAAGGAAGCGCTCTGAGAAATTTCCAAGGGTATTTAGGGGTGGGATTTCGCGCCACGCAAGGACATATTAACGTTGCCTTACAAGTGTAAAGCGACAATTACCAGAAGAGTTGACGGCAAACAAAAGCGAAAGAATTCTCTTTCCTGCCCCATCAGCCAGCCGTCAACAGGAAACAGTGGTGTTTGACACTTATCCTCGCAGGCTCCGGTATGTGAATAACAGGTCAACTCAAATGAAGTTCAACTCTGCATGTCCCAAGGAGAGCAATTAGTTCCTTGCTACAGGTGGTGCACAAGGACAGAGCTGGGAGACAGAAAATACAATAAATTCTTCACTCCAATAATGAGGTGATCTGAGACAATGTCAAACCATTTATTTCCCTTTCAAATGTCCTAAAATAGTCGGGACTATTTTTGGAAACGTTAAGGCCAGGAGGGGGTTTTATAAAGAGACATCATTTAGCTGGTAAAGATGTTTACACCACCACGTCAGAATGTTGTTTCCTAAGGTAAATCAATAAATTAAAAGATGGAAATTATGAACTGTTTCTAAGTGAAACTTCTGATGGGGTTACAAATCTGTTTGACAAATGATCTGTTCTGTGTTTGAATGGGAAAAATTGGAATTCAAATGTATTTAAAAACATCTCTGTGTTGTTTGACGTTCACTGTGAATGTACAGTGTTTACTTTTTACTTCCGCTGATTTTACTTTGCCAAGAAATGAGGCTTTTCTCAGAGCAGACATCTTGACAGGTTGGAAAACCACAAGTGTAAGTAACCGCATGAATGACGGCTTGGTTCCATTACGTTGCCTTAATTTCAGGGTGCATGCTGACTCACTGTCACAGTGTTCTGGCGATGCTTAGTGAACAGAACCGATGATAATGTTATTAACGACACACATGTTTTTGTTTGTCCAAACGCACGCCGTGAAAAAAAAAAAAGTCTTGCAAAATACAATCAACTGAAACACAGAGTGTTCTGCCAAAATAGTCCCAGCATACCCTGCCCATCTGGATTTGGCAGGTTAATTAGTTCACTCACATTAAAGTCGGAAATGATTCCAAGTACAGTATGTGAGATTCAGCTCACAGGAGCTCACTGGTCTTGGCAGAGTTATGTGCAAAATGATAACACAAACACAAGAAGGCAGACACACTAACAAGAGGGTTTGAATCACAGGATCTCTCACACTTGTTGGAATTCAGTCTAAATATTCAGTTTAATTTAAATTTTAATACTTTGGTATCTTAGCTAGATCTATATCCTTAGCAGGAAGAGAGATAACGTGAACAGCTTCCTATTGAATGTGATCAATTTTGTTGAGTAAATACATAGAATTACAAATAGTTTCTCCATCTTCATTATGTCTTCATTGCACTGTTTGGAACAATGCAAATAAATAGAGTTCAACTGTATTTGACTACGTATCACTAAAATATCCAAGTATACCGTTCCAAGTCACGTTCTGAAGTGTCAAACTTGTATTTATTAAATAAAGCAGTGAAAAGCAGTCAAAACAAGAAAACCTTTGACTGTTGAATGAGTTTTGCTGCTTCACATCATATTGACCACTGTGACCAACTGAAGAATTAGTCTGGCATGAACCACATAATCCTCTTTCTGCACCGGCATCAACAGGATTTACGCAGTTGTAAAGAATTTATCACTCACAACAGAAGCTGCAACTTCGGTGCTTTTTTTTTTGTGGTTGTTTCTATCATTTACTTTCTCTGTGGAGGACGAGGGAGTGGTGGGGGAGAAGGGGACTTATAAAGTGGTGTGATTGACGCGTGTGTTGTTTGATGGACAGGATCAGTTGCTCCCCTCAGAGGACAGTGTCCCTTACCTCCCTGACAGCCACTAGTCATCAGTTACAGTCACAGGAAGTTTCCCTGCAGCTTTTGAAAATTCCAACCTATCCTATTAATTTCCTGGATTATTCCAGTGCAGACAGTGATGTAAGAATTCACACCTCTCATCACTGAAAACCCCTCAGGTAACAACCAAAAAGGCATTCTTTACTTCAAGTTTTTAAATTGACTTAAAATCATATTTTTGTCAATTTAAAAATGCAACACAGTTCACATCGGAGGCTCCAAACCTCGACCTTTGTCGCTGGATGCTTTCTCACGTCAGACGTGCTGAGCGTCTGCCACGCCTTGATCATCAGTTTGACTTTGATGGCTCATGGTTACCAGAAATAATTGGACAGGAAGACCGGGAACAAAATTACTTTGGAGAAAATCAAAAGATGCTTTTTTTCCATGGCTTTTATAGATCACTGTTTTCAGAGTTGGCACCACAAGTTGGCGTTTGGCATTTCCTGTTTTTATTTTTCTTCTCCATATATTCTCTGAAGCAAACAACAGATATTTCTTGTGTTTGTTTCCCTGTTTAGAAAATCATCTATTGAAACAAGCTGGACAGATAAAACCCTTGGAGCCATTTAGACAGGATTAAGGGGTAAAAAAAAACAAGCTTCTGGCTATTGTTGGAAACACACTTGCCTACGAAGGAAAAGACAGCTACGCCCGCCCACCCTTGATGCACTTAAAAAAGCCATTTGTCTGTGAAACATGCTGATGTGTAATTTGTTTCACACTGATCTATCACAATCTAGCGTTGCCTCTTAGGGCGCTCAGGTCTGTGATCTGGGGTCAGTGGTGTTCTGTCTCTGTGAGTCTTGATAAATTAGAACAGAGATGCTGTTTGCCATCAGGAACTCGCTGGGAGGGACCCTGCTGGCAGTCTGTTAAGTGATGCATCAACAGTAGATGCTGCTGACTGCAAGCAACCTTGGCAGAGCAGCGTTAAACACACAAACACACGGGTAAATCCGTGAACACACACACACATACACAAACGACTGTATGCATACAAATACAATCAGCCTGTGCAGGTGAATGTGGACATTAGCTACAAGTGAAGCCAGTCTTAGAGGAACACGTGAAGATTTATAAACCAACCTTGACAGACTGGTGGGGGTCCATCCATCTGTAGTCTCTCTCCAAGCCGACAGGTCAGAATCTCACTGCCCATCAAGGTAAAGCCTGGCAGGCAGGAGTAGCGGATAATGTCCCCTGTGAGGTCATTTTCACCCACACACACACAGATATAATATAAACAGTAACACAAACAAACAGAGAGAGAGAGAGAGAAAGAGTATTTCACACCAAATTTTCTAATGAAGATTGACGTGCCCCACAAACATGGAACTGAAATTTCAGAGAATTAGAAAATGTGTTAATAGGTAATCTCTAAATAACTTCTTTGGTGTGACAGGACGCAATGTTTATCTGACAAATTAGATTATTTAGTTTAGTAAGTTCTGTTGGAGGAGTACAGTTTCACAGGTTATCAGGTGCTCACGACCCAACAGTAAATCAGCCAAGAAATCCATTCAACAACCATTAAACCTGTTACGGCCCAGTTACACTGCTGTTACACATTTAACTCTGTGTTTTACTTTTCCCTCTGGTTTCAAAGGTTTAACTACAACTTCAATCTGTTTGCAACAGTAGCCTACTGTTAATAAAGGTTCCCAACTGTGTTTACAGCACCCCCTAATGTGCTACAGAACACACACAAAAACGTACGCAACACCTTTAGGTGACATACTTGTTACAATCGAACCTCAATTTAATCCTAAAACCGAGGGTGCACAACACAATTAATTCCATTGTCCCAAAACACTTTTCTCAAATAACTGCGCTCGATTACATCACTATGTACATGTCCTTGAAAATAATCTCGTCCGTCTCCAACCAAATAAATAGACACAGTTCAGTGAATATTAATGGTTACATCATGACCTCAATCTTGTCCTCGTCTGCATATCGTAAACGCCGCTCCTAGCATATGAATTCTCAGCTGTTGTACATAATTCTAAATGATCGTTTGTCAGGAGGAAAGATAAAAATAAAGTTTTGCCACTGCTCTAACGCTTCAAAGTATTTCCAGATAAAATGTGCTTCATAGTAAGGTTGAAGTATGAGAAGAAATTCAATGATAAAAACTTAAGAGTTAAAAAACATGAAGTGAATTATTTAACAGCATAAATATAAATATAAATAATATAACTGTGTTTTAAGTCTTTTTGTCTCACTCTGTCCAGTTGTTGACAAGAAACGTTACCTCAGGTCTGCTGAAAAATTGATTTTATCCGCGTTCGTTCCTGACCAGTAAACAAGGAAAATAAAATAAGACAAACCTATTTCAAACTCGTCATCTTCACTTAGCGTGGTGGCGTTGGCCACGACAGGAGGCGGCTGACAGGTCCTCAGCTGGTACGCTGTTGGTGAGGGGAGAGATACTGAGATCAGCACAGAGGTAACCCCCCCCACAAAAAAACCCACAAAAATTCAAATGTGTGTGTGTGTTGTCATTTTAACTGCATTACATTTTCTAATTTTGCGTCCCACCGAAACATGATTTAATCATAAACATTCTCCCTTCACTGCTTGTAATCATCAAAAACCAATCAATAATTTATCTGAGATGGGAACATTTAATATGAAATCACCGTCTTTCACATGGGCGTTGTGATAGCGTGACTGAAATATAATCATAAGGCAGTATTTATCATGTGTAGTTACACAGCAGAGGCCATACAGTGAAATAAGACGGGCCAAAATGAGGCCGTGGTTTTTACAGCGGGCTAATAGAAACACGGGGAACAATCTCTCCCTGTTCATTACTGCTGCAGGCTCCCTGCTTTGTTGTGAGCTGATGATCAGATGAATAAGGGTCATTACTGCAGTACAGGGCCAGGTCTTTACACGGCTGAAATCAAAGGGGAGGATACCGTAGTACAGCAGCACGAAGAAGCCGCTGGTGCTGAAGTCGCTGTGGAACTTGATGAGGATCTGATTGGCGGTGGTGTACACGCCTTCCTGGATGGAGCTGCCGCTGAACTGACCAATTTGAGGAGAGGTCTGGTCCGGTCCATCCCTGATACAGAGAGTGACGAGAAATAAACAAGGTTATAGAAGGGCAAAAGACGGGGTGGGAGGTGGAGTGATCAACGAATAAATAGTGTTCCGACCTGGAAGGATAAAAGATCAGGTCAAATTATCATTCTGTTGTTATCTAGCCTTTAACAGTTACTCAAAACTTTTGTTTTACTCTGTCATACCAGAGCAGAGGTTCATAATTTCAAAGTACTGAAACCATTGAAAGAACATCTTGTGTTAATGGGAAGTTAAGTTCAAACTAAAGTGGTAAAAACTTGTTAAAATTCTTGGCTTTTTTAAAGACTGCTACGAGAAATCTGGTTAAATTTTAGTCAAACAGAATAAAGTGGAAAGAAGAAGAAAATATTGTAACAATTACACTGACAATCCGACTTAGAAGAAGAAAAGATTGTAACAATTACACTGACAATCCGTTAAACAAAATCTTTTAAAACTGATGCTTCTGGAAGGTTCAAAGTTTGAGTCGTAACAATGTGTCGACAAAACCTGGGCTCTGACTAAGAGACAGTGAAGGGATTTTTTTAGCCAGTCACGTCTAACATTAATATTTTGTTAATATTCAGAGATAAATCTCTGTTAAAAGGCCAAATGTTTAATTCACCGGAGGCTTGTGTTAACATTTTTGAGAGGCATTAGTTCACGAAAGGTGGTATTTCACAGAGGAGCTGAGAGCACATTCGTGTCCAAATGAAAATCTGGGAGATCAGACAATGACTGCTGTAAAACAAAGATGATTTTATATTCAGTATTTATGTATTTTTTGATTTTCTGATTTAAAATTTAAACTCTAATTGCATATTAAAAAAATACAAAAACTATTTGATTTTAGTCCTCATTTAATTTTAATTCAATCGTATTTTTATGCATGCACAAAGCAAGAGATGCTGTTCAGTCTATTTAATATTCCAGCATTTAGCATTTGTTTATTATGGCTTTGAGGCCAGGTGAGATCATTGGCTTTCTTACGACCAGTTTCACCGAGCGCATGGTAGTAGGTAAGACTACTCCTGACCAGATGACTGACATCATTTGGGTTAGTCACAAATAAACCACATACATCTACCTGCTGTTTTAGTCATTCTGTTCCAGAGATACACAGAATATAAATAATCTAGGAATGATTACTGATTAATCCTGATTAACCGAGATTAATCCAGATTAATCCACAGCTGCCCTGGGATTTGCATTAATAATATTAACATATATTTACAGTAGGCGACGATTTCCAGCAGATCTTAAACTCCTGTGGACTCTGTTGACAAGGATAAAAACAGTGTCCTTAGAAATTTGATTAATGGTTATTTTAAAATCCTGCAGCAGTGAATACCACCGAGCGTCAGTAACTGTAGCCCCAGGTAGCAAACTGTAATTGAATCATGGTGACCTTTTCTAATTTTCACCCATAATGAAGGTGGGTGGGAGCCTATTATACGTGACGGATGGGTGGGCTCATAAAAATACGAATCTAAATGTGTGACAGTATCAATGCTGATCATTTACCCTTTCAGTGTATCTGAAGGATTTTGTATTAAAAACATATTTTTAAAAAAAAGGTAGCTTTGAAATTCCAATTTGAACATTTGAAGAAAGAGGTTTGAGTGACAATGATAGATATTGGTCTAATGCCAGTGATGAGTGAAGCTCCTCCCTTGGCCCTCGATGGCAGCCTGTCATCTTAGACACATCTCTTAGACAATTTCAGGCTAATTTGAAGGACGGCTGTGACTGGGAGGAGATGCCAGGAGCAGACCGCAAAACATATATATTTAAGGTGGACTGGCTGGACTTGGAGATCCTGTCAGTGACGAGTCCAGTCAGAACTGTGGTGATGTGAGGAAATGTATGTGTTCTGTATGGGTAAAAAAGAATCTTTGAAGAACACTATCAGTAGCTCTGTTTATTGATTCAAACTGCAATGTGTTTCACTTAAGGAGAGAAAGTCCTGGTATATGATTCAATCTTCCTCTTTTATTTTTATCATGAGGTTTAACTATTTCCATTATTCCATTATTATCATGTCTGTTGTACATTTATCTGTGAAAAAGCCTGGGAAAATAATAATAATTTCAAGCCAGGAAACTGGTTTTAAATTCAGATGATGTAGCCAGCGTTGGAGGTGTAATTTAGACACTGTTGACCTGGATGATCTGCACACTAAATGTTTTGGGGTTTTTTTGTATGTGTGTTCATGCTGCATGCAGGGGAGTGAAAAAAAATGTTATTTTAAACTGATCAGCAGAATAGGGAATGGCAGTCAGGCAGGGAAATGAATTGTTGCCACCAGGGGACAGATTGTTTATGCACTATTTCATTTGAAAACACCAGTGCCAGTGGCTCCCTCCTCCTGCCATACTCTCAAATGTAACCCCAGATGCTGGAAGGCAATTCCCTCCCGTCTCACCCATGAGGGCAGCTCCATTAGACCCTGAGGCTCACTATAGTATTATGGTAAGAGGCTGCAGAGAGGTAGAAGGAGGTGGACACACCAGCAGCCAGACACACCAGCAGCCAGACACATATGGGTCAGTCAGTCAGACAGTCAGTCGGACAGTCAGTCAGACAGTCAGCCAGACAGTCAGACAGTCAGACAGGCAGACAGTCAGTCAGTCAGCCAGTCAGTCAGTCAGCCAGTCAGTCAGACAGACAGACAGTCAGTCAGTCAGTCAGACGGTCAGTCAGTCAGTCAGACAGTCAGTCACTCAGTCAGTCAGACAGTCAGTCGGACAGTCAGTCAGTCAGTCAGACGGTCAGTCAGTCAGTCAGACGGTCAGTCAGTCAGTCAGTCAGACGGTCAGTCAGTCAGTCAGACGGTCAGTCAGTCAGTCAGACGGTCAGTCAGTCAGTCAGACAGACAGTCAGACAGACAGTCAGTCAGACAGGCAGACAGTCAGTCAGACAGGCAGACAGTCAGACAGTCAGGTACGTTTTCAGGCATAATGGCAGCGTTTGGAGTGATGAAAAACCTTCTCCATGAAAAGCTCGTTTGTTTTGTTTCCACATAAATACAAATAGAGTTGTCATCGGGGCACGTTTTAAACTTGTCACCGAATGGTCATTTAATTACTGGAGTTAAATATCTACCGTGAGGACATGCTGACTCTGCCTTCTTTTGGTTAAGTTTCATCATGCAGCACAATTCATTTTGTTTTAAGAGGAGGCCTTGAGGAAATAAGTTGTTAGAGTGAAAAAAAGAAATCTATAAAGGTTTATACCAGTTGACCCGGTCGGGAGGGGAATAATAATTGAAGGCCAGGGTAAGTCAATGGTACATAAAAAACAGAAATGCATATTGCAGTGCAAGCAAAGTTTGGATACGCTGTTGTAAATAAAGTGGCTTATGAATCCACCCTCTATTGTTTACTTTGTTTTCCTAGTAATGCACTTTATTTACACTGACATGCAATTAAACACAAGGACAAACAAAGTTTATGGTAAGTCAGATACTGGTGTGTGATCTCTTAACAACACAAACACAAACACAAACAGAGTGAGCGTTTTCTACCAAAATGTGTCCACCTGGCCTTTGTCAACATTTATAAATGTCAACGTTGTCATATTTTAAGATTGATTGAGCGACCTTTAACAGAGATATCCAAGCAGAAGCTCAAAGTTTTCTTCACCGAACAAATTTTGATCATATCATCAACATTACATATTTATATATATGAATTAATTCTTACGGTCCCCTTTTAAGGACTTTTGGTAAATTGATTAGTGATCCACGGTGTGTTCCATTTAGATAATACATAACTCAACCAAGAAGCTGTCGAAAGTCTTTATTTCGCAGCTGGTAGTTGCACTAAGCTGCTCAGCACTCTCGTAACATTGCACTCTGGTTAAATCATGTCCTTTTTTAGCTTTTGGCTTAGATAGGCTTTATTGCTAATGCACTGCTTTGTTGATGTTTTTTTTACTTCAATCAAAGGCCAGCTCATTGTAAACAGTCACAAGGAACACTCCTTAAGGTGGAGCTGTCCTTGGTGCTGATTTGACTTCTGCTGCTTCTGTCATCATTTTGAAGTATTTTGTGAATTTGCTAATGGGTTTTCAGCAGATGAGGAACTGTTATTAGCAGAGGTCTTGGACACTTGTCACACACACGGTGGCTTGTTTGGAATCCAATCCACACACATGCTCTGGTTGGAGGTTAAATACAAGCTGACAAAAAAAGTCAGGCCTTACCACACAGTGATGTAATCGTAGATTGGCTCTGTATTTATGACAGAGAAGTTGATGTAGATGCCATAGCCAGGAGGTACTCTGACAGTCCACATACAGTCCTGGAAGTGTGGGTACTCTGCTGGGTGTCCGGGTGAGTAAATTGTGCCATTCATTGATGTAATATTTCCACCACAGAGAGCTGAAAGGAAGAAGAAATAAGTCAAGGCAGGAATAAAAATGCAATCTTTGATTGAGTATAAATAAAAAATGTGACTAGCTATTAACAAAAACAGGGAAAAGCCTCCCAGAGGGCATTTTTAGTGATTTACATATTCTGAAAGTGTAGTATCTTAACCTTCAAATAATGTCTAACACATGGAAATATAAGACATGAAAATATTTGAAACTGTAGTCATTTCAGAGTTGAATGTTGACTCAAGGTAATTCTGTTAGCAGTTCAGACATGGAGGTTCCTAAAGACAATCACCAACCTGGAAGAACCCATTCTTAGTGACTTCAGAAGAGGATAAATGGAAGAAATAAATAAATTCAACCCCTCTACAGGAAATGTGGTAAGCTTTGACTTTGAACTATAGGGCAAAAACTTACAAAACTTTCCTCTTAATCAAATGAACAGCAAGTAAGGGGGCAATACAGTGGCCGCAGAGCAAAACAAAAAGTTTAAATCCCACTCTTTATAGCTGTCTTGAAACATAGATCACTGCGTACTGATTAGGGAAAAGATGTCATTCATCATACCTAAGAAACAGCTGAGATGTCTCCTTGAAATTTACAACACAGACAGGCCTAATCAGCTTTGTAATAAAGTCCTGCAAATGCTCCATATTTCATTATAATGGGTCTGTATCAGTTTATAGTTCTGTGAAGCTGAGCTACATTGGTGGTAAAAGTGAGTCATATGCTTCAATTTGCAGAAATAAAGAGTCTTCACACAGGCTGTATTATATACCCCTACATTTAAATGAACTTCAAAGTTTTCATTAAGGGTTGGCTGAGATGTACAGTAAAGGCAACTTCCTCCTGGCTGAAGTCACCGAGCCTGAATGTAGAACAAAGAACTTTCTAAATGTGACGGCTGGTTGTTTTTACCTCATTGGTTTTGGAAACAAGCACAGAGCAATTCATGGAATTTGCTGATAGTGTAAGTTTAGGTCGTTTGCCTCTGTTGAAATGACATTTTGTTATTCTAAAACATTAGCCAGTCACCTTCACAGCGAGGAACCGGGTGATTCCAGTGCCTGCTGGCTCCATGCAGGCACGTGAGTGAAGGCTCTCCGAGCAGGGTGTAGCCCGGCAGGCACTCAAAAGAAATAGTCATTCCCACGCTGTATTCTTGACCGATCACCACGCCGTTACGGAATGGTCTCGGATCTGGACACCTCTGTAGCTCATACGCTGGGAATTAAAATGAAACAGAACCAACCAAAAAGTACAAAATTAGTTTGCATATTAAGTTAGACACTGAATAGTATTTGTATAGGTGATCTCAGTTTGAATGTGAACCAACATGATACCCATCATGAAAACCCAGGTGAAAACAAAAAGGTTTCTTTTGCTCCTCAATCTGCTGAGCTTTAGTTCTGCCCCCTGCCACTGAAAATCCTTACAATGTTCTAATGTCTGAACTGTCAAAGAAGAAATCCTTCCACTGCTCCTGCCTCAGTAGATTAAAGAAATACTCTGCTGATATTTCCAGCATTATTACTATTCAAAGATCTGCACTTCAGCCTTTCAACAGAGGTCAATATTGATTTCATTATCTACCTGTATGTAATCTGACCGCCTCAGTAAATGTCTCTGCCGGACTAATACCAGCCCCAGATCTCCCCTGTCCCTGAGAGATGGTTTAGTAGGGATTGTATTAAAAACTGATATTTTTATATGCACCAGTTTTGACTTCCTTATGAAAAACGGCCTCACCCTGGTACACAACATGGAAGCCAGGCTTGTTCTGCGAGTAGTCACTGTGGAAGAACAGAGTGGTTTCGTGGGTGGTGCTGAAGAGGGAGTTGGGCACCATGGGGCCGCTAAAGCGATCAATCACACTTCCTGTCTCCAGGCTCCCACTGCGCACCTCCAGGTAGTCATGAACAGGCTCTGTGGAGAAGTTCAGAAACTGCAGATGGATCCCTGAAAAAACAGATGGAACGGGTCATTGTTGGAAACATATTTACTGAATATGTGTGATAATATTACAGTAATGTTTGAACACACAGAGGAGAGGAGAGGAGAGGAGGGGGAGGGGATGGATGAGAGGAGAGGAGAGGAGAGGAGTACAGACCAAATCCTATAGGGAGCTGAACTCTCCAGGTGCAGTCCAGGCTACTTTGGTAATTCCCTGGAAAGGCTGGACTGAGAATCACACCAGTGAAGTCTGTCAAAGAGCCTCCACACTGAGCTGAAGGAGACAGAACAAGGAGAGGTGTCTTGACCACACCACGACTCAGTAGAGAAAAAAAAATCAAATAAATCACTATAATGAAGCGATAAAGGTTAAAGGACTTTTCTTTTTGTTGAAGATACAGCAGCTGTGGATTTCTGTGTAGCCATATGCTAGCTGCTAACATCCAGAATGTTGTCCACTACTTTACAAATACACACTGCACCCCCTTCCCTGTAGATTGTGGTATGGTTGCAAATTTACCTCATTTATAGTGTTTGGCTTTTTGCAATCACCGGTTCTCTACTTTACTGGCTTTTTAATTTTCTACGCTTCAAAGTCACTGAAAATAATGAGAAGAAAGTCTTTTTTGTGGCCATTGATCTTATATACTGCTGTGAATCAGCAAGTTTTTAGAAGAAAAGAAAACACAGAAAGACTCGTATATTAGAAAAGGAAATTACATTTATTTTATATACGTTAACTGTGTCATGTCTTTTTATATTAATATAGGAATACTGTATACACAACCCATGGCCCTCATCTTTTACCGTTCACATTTATTTCCATGTAGGACAATCAGGATAAAAAAAGGTGAATGTTTCTGCCACTTACAGTAAAGATGTCACTTTTAATATTCCCCCACAGCGCTCTGCTGGTGCTTTCTCCAATCCCAGGTAAAAACCAAGGACTGACAACTCAACCATCTCCATTTTTACCACACAGGCAGAACTTGTGGCATGACCTGAGCTTTTCATTACTCTGTACAGTTGAGGTGATTCCACAGTTCTGTGTTAGACCTTCTGTTGTTCACAACAGATCATTTGATTCAAAAACACGTTTTCTTTTTCTTTTTCCTTTTTATTTCCACTACTGTTCATCTTGATTCTATCGGTCACAACACAAAGACCTTGGAAAGGTCGCCGTGGTTGGTCTACACCTTCATGTGTCTGTGTTTGAGCACATCGGTGACTCTTGCTTGCACATCTCTGCTTGACTGTGAGGATTATGGCCCATGAAGGTATTTGTGAAAAGGATAACAGACTAAGGTGCACCTCCAGTTTGACGGTGCACTAAATGAAAATAAATGTGCCGATCCGTATTCAGGAAAGTACCCTTATGCTCAGCAGGTAGTGATTACTTCACACTCCCTGCTGCCTCACCCACATGTCTGTCTTTAAATTTGTGTTGGAAAACACCTCAGCTTTCACTGATTATACGTAACTCCTCGTTCACCCCCTCTGGTGCGTGTCCTAATCGTTTGTCTGAACCCAGGCGTAACGCAGTTATAGCTGCTGGAGGCTCATTTATAGGAACAAAATATGATATTTATGAATGTGCTTTTAGAATTTGATTGAAGGTTCTATATTATATAATTGGGCAAAGTTATGTTTTTTAGTTTATTCACTTTCATCATGTACTTTCATGAGGGGATTTGCCACAGTGGTCGATGCTGGAATCCCAGCCAACCTTGTGGTGATAGGTGGGAGTCCTATCAAGCACCATCCACCATTTCAATGTAACACTTTTGTGAGTATAATGTAAATTCAGTCAAAAGAATTTCCATGAAGAACAGAGACACCGTGCATTTCAGTGCATCTGTGCACATGTCCATCTGGGTTTATAGGAGGGATTTATTTGCATGGACATGTGAGTGTAGTTGTGCAAGTACATGTTTAATTGGGAGGAAAGGGAAGTTTGAAAACTGAATGTTAAGAGTTTGCTTTGTCTACTGTGCACTCTGTCAATTTATGACTGCAGCGATCAACCACAGAAGGACAGAACAATAGGCTCCAAACTAAGAGGGAGACAACTTTAATTGTTTTTCTTACATCACCCAGAGAACCAACGTCAAACAGCATGAAATGCTAACTTACCTAAACACAGAGGTACTGGATAATTCCATCTCCTGACAGGTCCAGGCATGCAGGTAATGTATGCATTACCCTGTTCAGGAAAGCAGAAAGTAAAGTCAGGACTGGCAACATGTTTGTGCTTAGATCAGATTTTCAAGTTACCGTTTTTTTTTTTTTTTTTTTTGGAATTTGCCCAAATCTACTTTTCAAGGTCTTGTGTGTAAATATTTGATAGAAAGGAGAGCAGAAGAGAAACCTCTTGCTGCCTGCTGCTGAAGGAATGACTGCAGTTTGACTAAAGATAGATGAGCTACAGACTGTGAGAGCGAGAGAAAAAGAAACATCCTGTCATCGACCTGCTCTCAATTATTTCTGTCAGCATAAAGAACAACCTTTACATGTAACTTTAGAAAAATAAATTTATACAACGGGGTTAACTATATACACACATACTGTATATATATACATATAGTATATATAAAACGCAGTACATGCAAGTGCACACACACAGATACACACGAATTGGCTGAGCAACAAAAACAGTAAAAAAAAAAAAAAAAACAAAAAGAAAATGTTTGTACTTATGCTTTGTAACCACAATGGCTTGAAGTCTATTTCTGCCGTGTGGATGTATGTAAGAAGTTACTGGTTGGTCTAAAAAGGTGAAGCGAAAAAAAAAAAAAAAAATCTGTGTGGGATTAAGTGAAGCAACTTTTAACACTATCCATCGCCTGTGGCCTTAAAACTTTCTCCAAGCTCCACACAGTAGGAGAACAACAGCAGGCACTCAGAGTGAAGTCAGGTGGATGAGTGCACAGAACAACGGCTGAGGCTTTATGAATACAGACATTAGCATTGACAGTATCAACACAATAAATACATTTATATTCATCCATGGACAACAGAAATATTTAATTAATGGAGAATTGCAATGGTTCTATGATTGTTATTTATGATTTTTAATGTTTGGATTTCTAAAAAAATACTATATATATAAATATATACACAGTTTTATTAACCATTATTTGTTTAAACTCGCTCATAAGCTCTGTGTAAATATTAAAATTGAACTTCTATAATTGTAAAAGAACGCAAAGTTGTCACTGGGTGAGCGTAAACATCTGAGTTTCCAACTACCTGTAGTGAAAAGCCCTGGTCACACTGGAACGACACCATGTCACCCACAGTGTAGCGGTCACCCACTCTCTGGCCGTTACTGGGCGGCAGCGGCTCAGGGCACGAATCCAAACCTATTGCTTAGGACAGAGTCACAACACACAAGTGTGGACAGCAATCATTCTTCTGCACATCAAGAGTACGATCAACATCAGAAGCTTTTCAAACACTTACATGTCACGTCGATGTTAAATATCTGCTGCATATTTAATGCAGAGAATTAAATTATAACCTAATGTTTTAACGTGCAATTACACAGTGTTTTATTACTTTGCAATTGCACATTAATTTAGTGAGTTTTTTTCCCTCTTTGTTACAGGGTTTAGAAACTGGGACGAGACACAGACCTACCCCACTGGCTGTGGATGCACAAACCTTCCGACTGTGATCTGAAGCAATCACTGTGAAATTACAATGCCATCCCTGAAGAACTTCTCAACAGAGGCATGGGGCTCCATTCAAACAGTATGATTCAAGGATAGTTGCCAGGTATTAAAATGCCTGATGTTTTTTCTTAAATACACTAATGCAATTTTCTCAGTATTATTAACAGTAATACTAAAGATACATTTAAACAGCATTAAAATGACAGAGAAGTGATGTCTTAATGTCACAAAATACAATTGTAATTTTTTATATATTTCAAAATATATACAGTAGCTAAGGAAAATAAATACTTTCTATATTTTATCAGCGACAAATTCATATGTCAATAGGTGTCTCTGATGCACAAAGCATTTTAAAACAGGCTCCTGCTCAGCCCTAGCAATAACAAAAAAACATATAATAGACAGTGGACCTTTGGAGATTGAGAGTGATAGCACAGACACATCCACTCTGAGTATTTCTCGTGACATATCATTAGTAAACAAGCTGCATGATGAGTCACAATGGAGGGAAATACAGGGCAGAGGAACTGTTACTTATTTTTCGCAGGCTTGTACAGTTGTACAACCCACATCCACACAAATGTAAAGAGCCCCAACTTGGTAATGGGTGGATATATTTAAAACATAGCAGCGGGAACGGTCGCACATGGTTCAGAACATTCAGAACAAATTAATAGGCACGTCTACCGAGAGCTGAATAACAGGAGTGGTCGCGCCACTCAGCAATTAGGAAGCTGGAGAAGATACACGAGTGGGAGGAGATGGAAACCCTTTGCTGATCAGAGGAGCCACAAATACATGAGCTGAAGAGCCAGTCTGACAGAAAAAAAAACGCTGAGGGTCTTTAACATAAAGAGTCAGAAACATGTGAACACACTGGAACAACTGGAAAAGGTTTCGTAATGAAAGCCCTTTGTACAAATGTCTTCTTCTGTGTCAGGTGGTATGAGGTTTCCTTCATACACACACACACGCGTGTACACACACAGTGGTTTTTGTTTCGTGAGTATTTCGCGTGGCCATGATGAAACTAAATCCTAAAGCTCAAAACAACACCGCACTCACTGTGGACCTGCAACATGTCCGCACGCGACAAAGTGCCCAACAACAATAGTTGTTTTCAAAACACTGTCCCCGCAACTATAGCTATACATCAGGAACAAACACGCACACACGCATACACAAACACATAAAAATGAAATGCATCCTTGCATTAAAACAGCCTCATTAAAATATGATGTGTCCCAATTGTAGAGATGAATCTGTCCCATCCCTGTAGATCTCTGTGAGAAAAGATAAGTGTTACATAAAAAACATTACACCAGTAAAAGAATTGAAATAATAATGATTGTTTCAAAAAACTAAAATAATCATATTTGAGGACTGGGTGTCAGTGGGTGGGGGTCGGGGGGGTCAATACAGAGAGGACATTGTACGTGTTTGGTAAAATGGAATTTGTGGTATTTAAAGATTTGATAAATTATCCAGAATTGGGTTGGAGCACGAGGCAGTTTGGTCTATGACTCCGTGCTGTTCATGAGGCATTCAGACTCCGCCATCTGTGGCTGCAGCAGAAAGTTATTCAGATGTCCACTTCAGACTGTATGACCAAGTCCAAACCTTCTCATTGCCCACCTGCCACCATTTCTGAGCTAAGATTTAGCCACAATGGATTCATTTTTGGAGCCAGACATTGGCGCCACCAGCTGTTTCTAAAAAAAAAAAAAAAAACCCACTCAACAGCAGCTGGTTTAGGCTGTTGACTAGAAGATTGATTTCTTAAGGCCCTGAAGAAAACACATCATATTTGACTTTAGCATTGGTGGCCAGTCCATCCATTATACAGTCTGTTCTGAATAAGGCTTGGGTTTGTAGTTTTCCAAATTTCTGTGGTAATTACTAGTTGGCATAGCTAGAGTATGTGTGTGACTTCATTACTGTTAAGGGGAATGACAAAGTAAACTCTCTCTCCATAGCTTCAGCTTTTAAAATACTTCTGATGACTTTTGCTTTTGAAATTCTAATTCAGTTATTCATTAGAATTAAATCTCAAATTTCTTGTCTATAAAAGCCTCCTTCAATAACACCCAGTTTGATAAATATCATTTAAAACAACATTTACACTTCCCAATGAGTGAAAACCATCAGTAACATAAATGTGAAATATTTCTACTTAAATCTCACACGGGAGAACGGTAAGTGACGGTGCATATAATATGCAGGCATGATTTCCACCCAGTGAGATGGTGATATATGATATTTTATTTAAGAAGTGCTTCAATGAGATTAGTCTATCAAACCAGGATGAATTCATCATCAAATTGTTTTAAATCAATTCATATTGCAGCCACAATCTCTCAGCATAATTCATGTGGAAATAATATATGTCTCTGGGGGCTGCAGTGATTGAAGCCCAGAGGGGTGGGCTGTATTTCAGACGCAATCCCTCACATTACCTGTGCAGTAGAAAAAGAAAAATCAAGACAACCGAAGTCTGGCTTTACAAAGCATCAGTGAAAGGGCAGCCGTGGCAAAGTGTGAAGCAGTCATGAAGGAGGAAGCAGACTGTGAGACATGGCACTGGAGTGATTCTCAGCAGTTGGTGCTGATGGTGGGGGGAAGAAGGAGCCCACTGAGAAACATGGCAACCGAGTGGTTCACAGTAAGAGGGGTGTGTGATGGGGAGGAAGCACTGACTGTGAGGAACATGACTAAAATTGCTCAGTCATGTCTCAGTCATTCCCAGACATGACTGAACAATTGCTCACTGATATGATACTGCCCCCCCCCACCGCTGACAGACAGGACAGATTTAGAAACAGCAATTGTGGGATTTTTTTTCTTTGTTACTTGTTTGACAAAAACTGTTTTACTCAAACCTTTTCTGTGGTGTTGGACGTGTTTGTAGCCTAGTGGCTGGATGTGACTTTAACCATGGGTGAATGACTGCTCCCAAAAATCTTAGTGTATGGTGTGTATCAGTGAGGGCTATGAACCATACAAACGTAGCGTGATGATAATGATGATAATACTGAAATACACTCATCATTGAAAGACAAAAATCAAACTGGAGAAAAAAAAAAATACTCAGACATTAAACAAGACAAAGTGAAGGTGCCAAAGACGTTTTAAATAGCTGTAAAATTGGCCTCCAAGGATAGTATTATTTAATAAGAACTAATCGCTCAATGCATCAGCATCACCACATTTATTTACACAGTTTTTAAACGGGAAGACTTTGTAAATCAGCAGTTCCACTGGGGCCACTAACGTGTCTTAAATTTTGTCGGTTTAAGGTTTAGTGTGCTTTAGTAAATGTTTCCCTGGGTGATAACCCTGCTCAGAGATAAGCCAAATTAATCAGAGAATGGAAATGAATGAGGGTCAAGGAGGACTGTGAAGATGTGGGAATTTTAACGCAACAACACGAAATACCATGAAAACACCAGAGAAACAGCTGAAGAAATAAATGGAAATTTGTCGACAAAAGAAAACCCAACTAACCTCTCATACCAACTGTCGGAGTAGAAATTAATGAAAGACTAAGGTAGAAACAGACAAAGAAGCACATAAGCCGTCTCTCCTCATACCTGTGTACTCCAAGTGGAATCCGGTGGCAGACACACTGATGTCAGACTGGAAGGTCAGGTACAGATTGTTGGACGTGCTGTTCAGCAGCTGAGGAATCGTCGTTCCTGCAGATTAAAAATGACATATTTCATGTGGAAACATTTACACATCAAACAGTTTAAGCAGTAATTTGGCTTCTTCTTTCTTTTTATTGTCTCCAAACTCTGTTAACATTAATGAAAACAAGTGTCTGTGATGGCTTCAGCAACAACCGGTTCACCTGCCTAACCTTGGTTAATGAGACTTGAGAGTACATGAGGAAGTGGAGACCAAATTATGGTGCAAAGGCAAACTACCAGGACCTTTATGTAACACAATGAATTAAAGACCGTTACACCGAGAGGATAATAGATCCAGAATATAATCACACAGTCCTTTGAGTAGAGGAGGAATCGTTAATGCCTAAAGGTGTTATTATTAAAAATTATAACAATTTACCAATGTGAGTGCAATTTGAAAGAATTAAAAATCCACATTGTTTTGTATGTGTGGCAACATCTACATTTTCTAGATTCCAGTCACGTCTGGTCCAATTTGCATAGAGAGCTGTATATATTTATAATCGTTTTCACCTTTATTACTTTAGCTGACAATAAAATTGATTTCCAGCTATTCATCCTGCGTCACCTTTTACCACTGTTGCCCTGCCCTGCACAGAAAACCTGTTAGAGAACGAGAATGAGTTTGTTTAAAATTAGATACTTGTGACATGTGGTCACTGCATATAAAGACAGGAGTCCATCAATAGCTCCTTTTGTACTAAGGAGTACAATTACATGTAGGTTTCTTTTCTCATCATTTACCCAGTGTGCTGCAGGGTAAAACTACATTAACAACATTGCAGACTGACATTGTTTCCCCTTTGATTTCTCCCATACAGCATTCCCGGAGAAATGCTAAATGTAATCAGATCCATCAACATGTCAGTCTGCAGCTGGGGCTCTGAGACAACCGACAGAAATTCAAGGGGGAGCTGGCAATGAAAATTCAGTTGTATCAGATATACCTGAGTAACTACCGAGCCTTGGAGCATTGCCGTCAACCCCGTCAAAAAAATCAAGCGAGTCCCAGTTGTGTTCTGTAGTGAAGGTCACAACTTGAATCTGAAAAAGAAAGACATCTTAAGAGAAACCTTGAGGAAAGGACACAAATATAGAGAAAATGCTTTATAAATAATTGATTAAAATATAGGAAAATCCCTGCACTACCTCTGAAAATTTTTTTTTTATAAAACACACTGTGTTTAGGGTTGCACAATGATGTAAAAAAAACCATAAGCCTAACATGTAAAAAAAATGATAGCTTTTATCAAAGAGGATTGAAGATTTGACACTTGATCTCACTTGAATGCCAGCTCCTTCAGGAACTGTAATTTTCCAGGCGCAGTTCAAATAGTTGGCATATGGTTCTGGATATCCAGGAGAGAGGATGGTGCCCCGTCGGCCAATCAACACTCCACCACAGGGAACTAACACGAGGCGGGGCAGAGGGAGAGAAAGCAGAGTTCATTATGACATGTTTTAAAATGTCTGCCGTGGTCGCCGTGACAACACAGCACAATTTCAGGTATTAAAAAGCCTCATTTCAGATGCTGTAAATGACTGTTAAATATTTAATGACTATCAGTAAAATCATGTCATGTGTGAACATTTTTTATGCAAGTTCCACGTTAAAACCCCTAAGTGAGTAATAAAATGTCCTGCATAGAGTACTAAAATATTTGATTAAAATCTGCATCAGCGTCTGCGTCATGCTTCCATGGAATAACAACAAAACGGCTCCGTCTGTTGGACACAATCAGGAAAACTGTTTAACCCTCAGGGGTAAATTTAGTTGAGTTGGAATAAAAAATTATCACTAAGAAAAAAAAAGTACATAAAGCTTAAGATTAAGTCCATAATGTAAAAAATGTAAAATTAATAACAAAATAAAGATAAAAAACATATACTTATACTACTACTACTGGTAGTAATGGTAGTAGTAGTGATATGTAGTAGTGTCAATGGTTGTAAGGTAGTAATCATCACAGTACTAATACATGGGTTATTGAAAGCTTTTACTACTATTACTAAAACACGAGAAAAGCACAGGTTCTATAAGTAGTATTAGTAGTATCACAGGTAGATGTGGCTGTTAGTAGTAGTAGTAAAATATGTACTAGAAGATGTAGCAAAAGTAGCAGTAGTAGCACTACCCATACAACTGTTACCAGTACTTAAAGCAAGAGTAGTGGATGAGTAGGAGTAATACTACTAGTACTACTTACTAGCAGTATTAGTACCATCATCTTAAGTAGCAGTAACAGTAGTAAAAGCCGGAGCAGAAGACTGAAAAGTAATAGTAAATAATTATAGCGAAAATTTACTAACAGCAAGACTAGTACTTCACCAGTACTGATGTAAACAAATTAGTACTACTACTGACAGCAATAACTGCTGAATATGTGAGATTAGTAGCAAATGCAGTTCCATAAGTAGGAGATACTGTCGCTTCTAGCGTCAGTAATAATAGCTCAGGCAGTCATAATGGTGCAGTAACTGTGCAGTAATAGAATTGTAGTAACAGTAACAGGAATAAATAACTGAATATTGATCCTCCTTCTGTTCAGATTTAAGGCCTTCTGGGGGATTTTTTTTTTCATGGTAACTGTTCCTCTCTTAGCATTCTCTCTCTCTCGCCTCCTCTTTTGACACAGTAACTATTTATCATAGCGTTGAGCTCTCAGGTCTATGCTGTAGTGGAGTCACTGGCCTGCTTCTGCTGACACTGTCAGACACTGATGCATTTGGGAACGGGTTTAAAGCTACAGCTACAATTTCTTAATTGCTTTTCTGGTTGGTGCCAACTGGTATACAGTAGTATGCAGCCAACTGTGTTTTACTCTCACACCCACCAAAACACAACTGAAGGCTTTCCCCTGACCTCAGCTGTCCGCCCTCAGGCCTGCTGGACCCAGCCCTCAAGGAACTGAGTTGTAAGTGTGAGGATTTGTCCACTGTCATTATATCTGTCCTGTGTGGGTGGGTGTTTTTTCTACCATTACATTTCACTGGGTTTAAAATAACTTCAAATTCCATAAAACAGTACTAATGGATATCTGTATGTCTGAATGGAGTACATTATTGTACAGCTCCCAACCACATTCTACTGAAATAACTGAAACCTTACATGGCCCAATGCTGTCTCTGCTTTCAGTCATAGCTGGAATGTACTGCTGTTTACCCAAGTACCCACTCAAACCACTCCTTTATCTATCACACGCAAAGAAGTTTTCAGATTTTCTATACGGCACAAGTGCAGGATAGAGCAGCAGCAGCAGAACATTTCCGTTTGTTTGTTTGTTTTCATCCATTCCACTTCCTGCTGCCATCCTCTACCCTGGTATTCTTATGGAACTGCTTCTCTAGTGAGCGGGCACATGATGACGGCCCATCAACACAGTCATGCAACGTGTTCTGAAAATGGGGACTCAGATGCTATTTGTCAAGGACAAGGCTTTAGCCTGTATAGGTCAATGGGAATCAGTGTTTTTGATTTTCATCAGCCAGTGGAGGGTTTGATGGGAAAGACATACGACATGGAAAACAAGGAAAAATAAAATATTCTATCACGGCAGGGACTATGAAAAAATATGACCTTTCAGCTTGTCATGAAATGAAACCTATCAATATTTTAGCGGTAATATCTCGCAGCTCAACATGCTCAGGAGAATATTGTTCGAGTCCCTTCCTTTTTACCTTTTACTGCCGAGTGGAACATTAGAGAGAATGACTCCTGCCTTACAGCAATGACACAGCAGAGCAATCACACTGCCGTACAACGGCTGCAAAGGTAATGTCGGTATTCAGCTAACTGTGTCCTGTGTACAATACTCAGTATTCACAATTGGAATGGATTATTTTAAGCACCACAGCTGAAGGAGAACATGTTGTGTGGCTGCGCTCAACACCAATCTGAAAGTGAAATAAGCAGAGCTGTAAAATTCACTGACCTGCAGAAAGTAGCTAAGGACTCCTCTAAGGTACAACGGTCCTATAGCCGTAATACAGCGAGTTGGAACTGAATCCTGTTGCATTGCTTTAAATCCATTCATGTGGTTTTAAGAAACCACATGAGTTTGTTTTATTTAAAATAATAAAAAACACATATTTTGTTCGTAGAGTCTGTTGAACTCTAGCAAGGAGTGTGTTGTTTCCAAGGAGAATTTCTTCTTTGTAGACTCTTGGTGGTTGTCCTTTAAACAAGTTAATTTATTTATTTTTTTTTTTCAGATTTTGGAAAAGAAAACAATGATAAACTAGATAAAAACCTTCTGCAAATTTCAGTCCTTTTTAGCAGTTTTCCAAGTTTAGTTAAAAGTTAGATGTTTGTTCTGATTCTAAACACAAGGTTCAACCTTAACCTGTGACTAAAATATAAAGATAAAACAACGTCATAGTTGCATGAGACCCATGACAAACCTGGCAGGATTGAATCAGTGAAATCACCTTTTTCACAAGTTTTCACATCTGTCTCTTTTTGAGTTTTTGTTCTAGGCTTCAAATATTCCACCAATTCTTACCTGTATAAACATCTGCGAAATAAATGACATTATTAACAACGGGCAGCAGACCCTTTCCAGGCAAAGAGCCCTTCATTTGGTATAATTTAACGGCTCCTTCCACTACCGCCCAGCTGTCAGTTAATGTAATTGATGGAGCAAGATTAGAAATCATGACACTCATAAAACGCTCTCCGCCCTTTTCAATCTGTGACAGGCTCATATGTCAGTTAGCACAGGTAGATAAGCCTTGGGACCACACACACACGCACACACATACACAGGAAGACCATTTTCTTCTATCTGATTATTAGCGGAGTTCAATTTAAAATAAATAGAATACATTTGTCACAGCCGGACAAGCTGTGTTATCATTGTGTTATCAAGTGTTGAATAACAGTTACTTTAATACCTTATACATTTTACATTTTATCAACAATATATAAAATGTGTTATTCATTTCTGGTGCAAGTGAAGTGCACTTCATGACAGGCTGCGACTAATTTTTAGACTAAATACTGATTCAGTTTTGGTACATTCAGTATGAGAATACTTAACAATGTCAAGGTCAAATAGTCAGGCAACTAAACCTGATTTTGATCTTTCCAAAATAAAAGTGTGAAAATCACACATCTGTTTTAATACTGATGGAAGATAATACTTTGAATGAACGGCTTTTGTATTTACTATTGAGTTGAAAGAATTAAAAACAACAAAGTAAGCAAATTAACACAAACTATTTGAAATGCGTCAAGCAAAGTAAGCAAATTAACACAAACTATTGTCTCAAATGCGTCAATTGTCTTTTATATGCACCGTGGTCAGCATTCTACTCTGTGCTAACAATTTGTTGTGCTCACTTGATTAGGAGAAAGTATTAAATACAGGGTAAAAGCTATTAACCTCCAGTTTCATCAAAGAAAACAAAGCAAATCCCAGCAGAAGTATGACCTCCAGTGTAGCTCATCAGTGTCCAGGCTGGGACGCTTTAATCGCTCTTAAAAGATTCTTTCCCAAACAGAATTTACTGTTAGTAAACAGGCTTGGCACAACACCTATTAGTCTTTAACACATTTGGGACCGTGCTGGAGCCAACAGTGAATTCCACAGTATGGGCCCACTGTGTATGAATCACTGTCAGCCTGTTAGTTTATGTAACACAGGGTAGGCATGGTTTTATGCACTCCACAGACTTATAAAAAGGTTATTTTGGACCTGTATAAAAGAATGTTACAATAAAGAATAGTGGTCGAAAGGAAAGCGCCATGAGACGTAGAGATCTGATATGATCTACTGTATGGTTTCAGACACATTGTTTTTCAACCCCGTGTCGGGCCGTCATTGTGTGTCATTGTGTGTGAATACATGGAGTCGTCTGGAACGTATAATTGGTTTTCAAAAAATACTGATAGAATTGTTTTTTAACTAATTATTATTCTTTTTAAAATTATGACCATATACATTAAACCACTGAGTTCACTAACTTTCATGAATATAAATCAAGCTCAAGTAAAATATAGGAAGTAAAAATATCTGAGTTGCCGGATCTTGATTTGCTACGATCACAAGAAATGAAATTTAAAGAATTTCTCAGGGATCGCCAGAAATCTGTGATGTCAAAATGAGGTCACAAACCAAAAAAGCCTGGGAACCACTGGTTTATAGACAGTGGAGATGGCACGGTGATGCAGTGATCTTCACTGGGAGTGGCCAGGACGGAGCAGATCAGAGGGACAGTAAAGGAGGAGCAGTTTGGAGATGAAGATAGAGAGTTGAGGTTGACATGGTTTGGTTGGCAGTACGTATAGAAGAGACAAAGGATGTTGGAGATGGAGTTACCAGGGGAAGAGGAAAAGAGGAAGAGCGAAGAGAAGAATATGGATGTAGTAAAAGGAGACATGGAGATGATTGGTGAAAAAAAGAGCAGAAGGGAGGAGACAGAGTGAGATGGAGGTGACCCCTGAAAGGAATGGGTGAAATAAGAACAAGAAGAGTATGTTTTATGGTCTGTGTCCACTTAAAATAAATCCCTTCCTAATACAGGGATAATAAAAATGTATCAAATGTATCACTTTAACTTTAAAAATACCACCAAGGACCAACGTCTATTTATTAAAATTACCTATAAAATAAACCAAAATAAAGAGAGCCACCTATGTTTATTCTTGTTACCAAGCCATGATCCAGCAGGTCAGTGTTGAACACCAAAGCTGATGCACAATGAGCTGAAGTCAATGGACGAGCAGCTGTGCATGTGTGAAACACAGGTAGCTGACAGGAGAACAGCTTCTGATTCAGTCATATCTCATGAAGAGCACTGGAGTAATTTAACATAGTGTTTTAGTTGAAGCCTCCATACAAACTCCAATATATCCATTATTCTGGGTGAGTACACTGCTGCTGGGGGAGATGCTGCAGCCAGATCCAATCTTCAGATAAGAATGGCTGTGTTTAAAATGGACCAGCACGTGGCACCGCTGTTCCCTCACCACTTGGCAGTAAACTCGGGTGAACTCTGCCTTGAAATCTCCTGCACTCACCGGCTGGAACTATTTGCTGGTTGGCACAAGGCCTGACTCTAATAGAATTCAGCACCAACATCATCTGTGGTTCTTCATCCTCACAAGGTGGTCTTTTCTGAACGTCTGGAGAACCGGGTGAATGTCCTTCAATGTTTTATGTAGGGTGTATGTTTGGTGAATGTGTGAGCAGCCGAGGCATGTGAATCTGTTCATGTGTGAAATGATGTGGGATGTGTAGAAGTGCGTCTCTGCATTCTCTATTTATTTTATATGTGAAGATGCTTCTGTTTATACTGACCACAAATAAGCCAAGAGACACAGAGGGTCCACACCTGGCACAGGCCATTAAATGTGGCTGTACATCTTATCCTGCTGCTGCTGCTGCATAACAACCTATTCCTTTTTTTGGCCATGTCAAAATAAATGGAATGCCTGGATTCTTTCCTCTCACCATTTTGGAATATAAATAATATATCATTATTATGGAATTAAATGTCAGATTGTGTTGAAAAGTTCCTGCCTTTAACTACCAAAAAGTTTCATGTGGATGTTGAGGCAATGAGGGCAATTGTTATAAATATATATATTTAATATGATTGCTTCATGCTGTAGTAGATTACTATTAACATGAACCAAAATGAGTATTACATGATACTACTGCATTATTATATGCTGTGGTATGGTGTTCCTTATGCTTTTATGCCTCCATTTAGTGCTCAGTATGTAAATGGATTGGTTTCTATGTGTATTTTAAACACTGTCAGCCATATCTGCAGTGCAGGGTGACAGTTTTAAATGCACATTCTATCGCAGGACTGTTGCATTTAATTGTGGTCATAAAATCGTGTTGACTAAGGGTATAACGGGTTTAAAATGTGGGCAATAAAGACCAGACTATGGCGAGATTTTACTGGAGAAAAAAAAAAGTTCCTTAACATACGCATTTTATTATTTATTTTCCCGTGGATCTCTAAAGACGCACAACCTGAAGACCTGTCTGTGTGTGTGCCCGTGTGCGTCTTGGAGTTAAATTTATGTGACACTTCAGTTGTTTATGGTCGTCCTTGACTTCCCTCTTCCTGTGTGAACTATTAAGTGCAGAGACAAGTGGATGTTTGACAACTTTCTCAATCTTTAAATATATTTATCTGTCCGGGAAGGCTCCTGTGGGTTTGGGAGATGGAGAGTGTGTGAGGATGATTAGGATGAGGGTGCTCACCGACACATGTGGGCACAGTGCCGTTCCACTGGGCGAGGGCACTGGGCACGGCTTCGCACTTGATGGCGTTGGAGCCGTGCAGTGTATAACCTGGGTTGCACTCAAACAACACCGCCATTCCAATGGCAAAGTCGTTCCCGATCCTCTTCCCGAAACGGGGCTCAGGGACGGAGCTGCACTGACTGGCACTTGTCCTGGGGACAGCTAGGAGGAGGACAGAGTAGAAACAGTCACGCCCAGCTACGTACACACAACATCAAAACCAGCTGTGAGAAGTGTTTTTGTCCCTATAGTTTTCCCAACAAAACGAAACAATAAAAGGCAAGAAATCAGTTTCCACTTCACAGTTTTGGTAAATGTCAGAACGGAACAGTCATACCTTGGTAAACAAAATGAAATCCTTTCGCCGTTTCGGTTCCATTTGTTGTAAATTTGAGTGTAATCTTGTTTCCTGAGCTTAGAGGAAGTGTCTCGCCTGGAAATACACAATCAGACAAAGAATCAACACTGCTGGGTAAAAAGAGTATGAAAAAAAAATAAAAATAGGAAATTGGTTGGAGACCAAGAGCTTGCTAATGGACCTTCTGATTGTAGTTAACGTGTTCTCCCTGTGAGCCTGTGTTTTTTTTCTTCTAGATAGTCTGGTTAGCTATTAGAAAAATAAATAATTACTACAAATGACTTTTAAGTGCACAAAACACAATTCTGTGCACTTCTCCCAGACCCTCAGGCCGACTAATGGTTCCACTGGTTGCTGCTGATTAAATTATTAAATGCACTTGTTTCATTGAAGTTATATTAGTTTTGTTCATGTTTAAAAGCCTTTAAAAATGTGATTATTTATACAAAGAATTTAGAGTGACCAAATTTAAGATTTTCTAAATTTCCCACAAACCAAGACCTCGATGATTCTGTCTTTCCCGTGACTTGACCAATTCCAGTGAGTGTAAAGAGCGGTGTGTGCAAACAAAACAAAAATAAGCTGTGGAGCAAACATGGAGTCATTAAGTTGGTGAACAGGTAGAAGGGAGGGATTTTCACTTCAGCCGCCAGAACTGTTTGGGAGGTTTGATGAGATCTGTCCCAGTTAAAATGTCACCATAAGTCTGTCCAATCAGATTTTGACCTTATCTGTGTGTGCATGTTCTCGTAGGGTCATTCTGATGAGGCAAATGCCAATCCAAACAAACCAATAGGCCGCACAGTATTTTAGAGCAAAAAAAAAAAAAAAAAACAAAGCCAAGGGAGCTGCAGCCTGTGGTAAAACTCTTTAATCAGTGTTTTAAATTATATTGACAGATTTTAATTATTTTAAGAAAAATTCGATTTTTTTGCTTTTGATGTTTTTCCAAAAAGAAGAACAGTTAAATGTATGACGCTCCATGGTGACACATGGTTTATTTTCATAGCTTTATTAAAGCTATTTATTTATAAAAAAATTTGGCTCATTTATTGTTTTGAATCATTTTGTCTCAATTAACTCGAGACCAAAACAAATCATTTTTCTGGTCAGGTTTTTCCTACCAGTTAATTAAGCCTGATATGAGGTTTTCTTTGTTTTACCTGAATGTGGTCCATATATGGAGGAGAGCAGCGGTGATTCTGTGGACGAGCCGTCGTAGATCTCCACCACATCACTGATCAACGTCTGGAAAACCACAAACTGCCCAAAAAGCACTGGGGGGGAAAAGCAGGGAGAACAAGGTCAATCTGTGTGTCAGAGTGACAAAGATTTAATTATGTTGGATTTGGTGGTAATCTAAATTTTAATTTTTTTGCTCTAAGCCTATTAAAGGGGATTTGTTTTTATTGTTTTCAGAAGGCAATTACCAGGAAAGCTGCAGATAATTAATGATTACACGATCTTTCATCTTTCAATCCATGCGACTTGAACCAATACCACACAGATTAGCATTGTTTCAACGAGAACATTCTCGTAAAAGGTCACGTGTTCCATCTAATTTGCATGTTTAGGAAGGACACCTGGAATTAAACGTCAAATTAGCCTCTTTGTTGGAGAAATTTGGCGTGGGCCAATCCGATACGTGCGTTGTACTTGTGGACTTGCATACACTCGCTGACTACTTCATGAGGTAAACGTTTTAACCACTGCACATCGCAAATATATAAAATTAGCCAAAACCTGGAAGCAATGTAGTTTATTTAAAGATTATGAAATTGTGAGAAACTCTCTGGAGACAGGCTGGGGCAGCAGTAAACAAAAAACAACAGTCGTTTTATAACAAACACAGAGGTGATGTTTCTGGTCCTTCTTGGTATTAATTAGTAAAGGCTTTGTGATAATAAAAAAAGTTTTTTCCTCAATTAATAAATGCTTGAATACTCTGCCTTGCTCTCATTTTAAAAATGTGATTCCTGATATGGGAACACACAACACAAATATGTGTTTGTCGATTGGCTGGTGAGTGTAAAGTGTGATGATGAACTCATCTCCTATAATGGCTTCTACTGTATGTAGAGTGTACAACATCTTTCATTAGCCACACGTTCTGCTCATTACATTCCTCAGCCTTTACAAATACTCACCCCCGCCCCCCACCGCCCCACCCCCGTTACCCCATCACAGACATCAGCACATACGTATATAAAACCTTTTCTAAACACCAAACATGTATTCTCTTTGTTCAACACAGCACATGAGTTTTAACACTGAACCAAGCGGTGGTACATCAACATTTAGGTTGAGAGACAGGCAGGTAACATGAACCCAAATGGTCCAGTTTCATTCTCGACTGAGAATTTACCTCCAAACTGGTCACTCCGTTCACAGGTAGAATGTTTCTCCTAAATTTATCAGACTCAAATTGAAGTAAATGTTTTTTTGTTTTTCAGCGTGAATTCACTGTGTGTGGAGTTTAAAACGACCCACGCTGTGATCTGTGTACCACATTTTATCTGACCATTTTATTTGAAGTTTCACTTCAACGTGTAGAAACATAAACAAATGATCCTTTGTTGCATTTCAGTGGGTTAAACGGAGGCAAAAGGCTGACAAGCCAACAAACAACGGAACAGAACAGGAGCCATAACATTTTATGAGTTGCTGTAACTGAGCCAAGTGTGTTTTCATGTTAATGATGGATGTGCTGGGATTATTATCAGGCATGTGTGTTCATGCATGAACGTATGTACGTAGAACGCGTGTGCATGCAAAGGCCTTAGAGAGTCAGGGTATGAGGAGAAGTTAATTTATTTTTCTAATCTTGGTGAAAAGATGTTAAATATTGTATTTATATAAGCCGGGCGTTTTCCTGCGTGAAGATAATGAGTAACAGAGAGGCACAGCAGGGGCCTGGCAGTGTTCTGTGTTTATTTAGATTTTTATATTATTTCACTCCCCAGTTTAAACGCTCATTTGTGGTAAACATCTTAAAGCAACAGAACATATTCTACATCAGAAAAATCTCACAGGGCATCACAGCCATATGTTACACAAAGTATATGAAAATCAATCAAATCAATCAATCAAAGTGATTTTCTTGTTTCAATTTACTCACAATTCACTTAGTATGGAATTTAGGTATCTCACAGGAATTGAAGAAAGACAACAGATCTGAGTTGCGTTTTGTGTTTGTGTTTAGACCCTCTGCTGGAATCAAATCAATCAATCAAAGTGATTTGTGTTTGTGTTTAGACCCTCTGCTCCTAGTGGAAGATTATTCAATTGTAACAGTCATTGCAATAATGACTGCTGATGCAGTACATTCTCATTTTTCTGTCTTGGATTTTTATAGGTCATTATTTTGTCAAGTAAAGAACTCCATGCCAACCTATTGCAAACCTTTCAATGACATTTTCTTAACAACCATTAATGAAGAATTCCTTCTCCTCCTGTACTGCAACATGGCATTTCACATGTGGAAAGCAACCTTTACACAGCACCGTGTTTGATACTCAGGGTCGGAATAAAATCATACTTCTCTTTTTGGGGTTTTGCTTTGAAATAATTGTTGTACCTCACCATAAGGGGGACAGAAAAAAGTCTTCGGGAAACTATCGGATTTTTCTCAGATGCAAGTGGAGTGAATGTGCGTTCGATTGGCAGCAGCTGCTGGGGAAGCAAGTAAACAATTTCATGCTGTAGGTTACAAGGGCACACTGCAAGCAGTGGTAATGAAGAGTAAGGAGGACACCAGCATCTGAGCAGAGCAAAGTGACATTTGAAGGTATGATTATAAGCGGTTTAATGTGCTGCAGCTGACCAGATAATTAGCCATCTAGCCAGCAAAGTGACATTATCAGCGTTCTTGCCCTCAGTGAAGGATTTCCGGGTCGCTTGTTTAACTGAGTCCGATTTCTGGCCAGAACCCAATACATGATGTTAAGATTAAGAATGAGACGGTAGCATGGAAGCTGATCTCAGTGAAAGTTTCCACCTCCCTTTGATGGAAGCGTCTCATTAGGCCGTAGAACAGAACACATCATAAACTGAACAGACAAACTGCGCAGACGGCACAAGACAAAAAAGGCATTCTTGGAATTCATTTTTAGATATGAGTCATACAGCTATTCACTAACGATCCTGTACTGCCACAGCTCCATGTTACTGCTGCTACAAGGAACGAACAATTCACAAATGAGAACACATTTCTAAATAAGGAGTTGTATATTTGGGTCGTGTCACATTTTATCAACTTAATTTGTATAATTTATGAATAAATCAAGTACTGATGAGGCGTTGAGGCCATTTTGTTAAATGCATTTTTAAAAGTTACACAATTAAATATTATAAATATAAAACCATAGTTTCCTATAAAGTTATTTTTATATAGGTCATTTACATGGATTAAATGAAACAAGTAATTTAAAACCCTGCTAAATTAAAGCTAAATTTGGTGTGATCTCATTGACCTATCATGAGATTATTAATGTTTTCCTAAATACCACAATTACAACTTAAAAACCCCGGGTGATGTTTGGGAAAACATACGACAATGAACAATGAATGAATTTAATGTGTGGTGAAAAACTTTTTCCAATTAAGTGTTCCTGATTAGATCAATATGTACACGCCCTTGAAAAAATAATCTGATCCGTCTCCAACCAAATAAACAGACATGGTTCACTGAATAATAATGGTTACATTATGACCTCAGGCTTGTCCTCCAGTGCATATTCATATTGTAAGTGATCCGAGAAGATGATTCCTCAGCTGTCTCTGACAATTTTTATGATTGAGTTTGTCAGGAAGCCAGTAAAAAAAAGAAGAAGAAACTATGCTACTGGCACAGGGGCGGTACAGAGACAATGAATAATGGTAATTTATCATAATGTAGGTCATATTGCTGTATGACAAATGTCTTCTATTCTTCTTTCAATTCAACCATCCGTCCTTAAATACGCACTCAACATATATACAAACAACTCACATCGACACCTGGGCCGCAGAGTTCACGACCTTCATATCGAGCTGGGAATAATTTACAGCAATGAACGAGATGCCGTCGAGAACATAAATGTCAGGGAACGTGTACCTTACTTCTGACATTGTGTGATCTAAGTGACGTTGTTAGTAACAGTGTAATTACTCCT